TTTGGCTGCCTCTCTCTTATAAGGACACTTGCTATTTCATTTAGGGCCCACGCAGGTAAAACAGGATGTTCTCCCTGTCTCAACACCCTTAATTTAATCACATCTGCGAAGACCATTTTTGCTAACTAGGGTACTACTTATAGGTCCTAACGATTAGGACATGGATATCTTTTTAGGGGGTCATTTTTTCGGCCTACCCTAGCAATATTAGAATTTTAATGGTAATACTCTTGAAGGAATTTCTGAAAGCTATAACTTTAAAGTAATTGTTTCTTCATAAATTCTACAAGTTCATCTTGTCAGTATTTTAAATCTTAGAGCTGGGAAAAACAGTGAGCACTACAGAAGCACTCCTGTTTAAGAGAAATTGTTAAGTATGCGACTGTAACCACCGTAGAATGACTCAGGTGGGTTTCCTTGTGCATCTCGAGAAGGGATGTCCATTAGCAAAAAAAGTTTGTGGCCATTGTGCTTGATGATGGTGTTACAGATCAGGGTTGGCAAACTTCTTCCAATGGCCTCGGTAGTGATATTGCAGGCTTTGGAAGCCATTCAGCCTTTGCTGCAACTATTCAACTGTGCCGTAGAGCAGAAGCAGCCACAGACAGTCATTAATGAGCATGGCCATGTTCCAATAATACGTTATTTACAAAATCAGGCAGCAGGCCAGATTTGATCTATGAGTCACAGTTTGTCAACCCTGTTAGAGAATAATATGAAATCACCATTTTGACTCTGATATCATGTTTAAAAATATAAAACTACTTCTATAGTGTTTTCAGCTAAACAGATTTTATAAAATTGTAAGAAGAGCTCTAACAGACTTTAAAGAATCTATAGATAAAAAACCCATGCATACTTCTGAGCCATTTCCATCCCATGCCATATCAGAAATCGCCTAAAAGGGGAAGAATAACTGAAGTCAAATAAGGAAGAAAAATTGTGTGGTTTTAAGTGTTTACGAGGAGTGGGAGATGGCAGCACAAAAAGACAGGAAAGCATCTAAGTCCTTGGATAACCAGCAAAGATGCCCCATCCGGTGGACTGGACTGTCAACCAGATTGGAGTTTTCCATGAGAAACAAATCTTCCCTTTGCATTCGTCACTTTTGTTCTCTGGTAAAACAGTTAAAAACAATATTTTAACTAGCAGACAGACCGACTTCTTCACTGCTAACTGGATAGTCTATCATCCCTTCTTAGCAGTTGCGTGGAGAATCGAGGGCTGTGGTTTCACGTATGCTCTTGGTGACAAAACAAGTACCATACCTGGGAAGAAGGGCGACGCAGACTGTGAGGACACAGACTAGGTAGAACACGGGGTCCAGCAGGTGCTCCTGCATAATCCAGTAGGGGTTGGAGGGTGGGTTGCAAGTGACACACATGGCTCCAAAAACCAAGGCAAAGAAGAAATAAGACAAGATGCTCCCAACGATGACCAGCACGTGGATCCAAGTCTGTAAGACAAGAAGCACAGGGGAAATGAACACTGGCCTGCAGGGTTTTGCAGCTGTGTTGTAGAGACAACATGTCTAGGCAGTAGGTGAATGGGGTGACACCTCCACAAACAAAACACAAAAATACCGAAGCGTTAAGAGCATCTTTCATGAACAGCTCGTATCCCTATTTAAATTGTGAAAAACTAAGTCAAGTGCCAAAAGGTAATTCTGATGACTAGTTTATTTTGGTTCTTTTTTTAAAGATACATTATTATTGATTTCAGAGAGGAAGGGAAGGTAGAAAGAGACAGAAACATCAATGATGAAAGAGAATCATTGATCGGCTGCCTCCTGCACGCCCCCACACTGGGGATCGAGCCCACAACTGGGACATGTGCCCTGACTGGGAATCGAACAGTGACCTCCTGGTTCATAGGTAGACGCTTAGTCACTGAACTACACCAGCCAGGCACTAGTTTATTCTGTATTATCCACGAACCATGAGGTGTTTGGATTTTCTCAATTTTTTTTACATAGAGTCTCACTCATTAGTCTGTTTCTTCATTAAGGTAATACTTTAATTCAGTGAGCCGCAAACTTTATCCATTCACATTGTGGTGGTCATTACTGTTGCGCACCAATATTCTCATTCTTTTCTGCAAATAAGCATTCGGAAGGATTGTACTTCTCTCCTTCCCTCAAAAGTAAGCCTGGCCACCTGTCTTGCTTTGACCATTGAAATGTGAATGGAAGGGACATGGACAACGTTGAGGTCAGAAGCAGGGAAGAGCTGGTGCACAATTTTCTATGCTGTCTCCTTTCCTTCCATGTTGACTAAGAAGTTCCCTTGGGGACAGTTCCAGAAGGTAGAGCTCCAAGACTCAGCCAGGTCTTAGAGCCACCCCTCAGGACAATTGCTCTAGAGCTGTCTAGAACCTTAGTTAACGTGACATATGCAATAAATTAATCTCTGTGGATCACAGCATAACCTAGCTACCTTCATATTCATGTATAGCCTGCAATATTATTTTTTAAAATATTTTTCTCTAAAATGGCTCACTATTTAATTAACTTTATTTAGAAAAAAATAAGCAGATTTCTACCTTAAATATAACATTAGCATTACCTGTATTAATAGTGCTGAGTCTGGAGACTGGTCTGTTTTTGTTACAATAGTAAATTAGTGAGAACTGTTGTGATAAAACAGAATAGCCCCTCTTTGATATTATCTGAAGTATGAGGAGAAAACACCTTCGCATTATGTAGCATCCAGTGTTGTTTAGTGCAATGCACATACAGTCCTGCCTAAATCACAGTGTACACCTTGGTGCTGTATGCTTTTGGGGAAAGCACTGCCTTGATTAATCTTTTTTATTTTCCCACCGTTATACTTTCCAAACAAGAGCCAATTTTCTCCTTCACACCTAATCTTGCCAAGTATTTTCCCATGGTTGATATCTTCAAAAGTCACAAAGACTGCTTTTTTTTTGGGGGGGGGGGGAATGTAAAAACTGCTTAGAAAATATAGGCTAAATCCAAAAGATCTTCATGCCTCTAAAACAATGATGTCTTCTTTCTTTCTCAAATGGTCTTCCTTTCCATTGAACCTACTGCCCAAAAGTTAACATGGGCTTTGGCAAATGAGACAGTGCTTGATGGAGCTGACACATGAAAATAAATTGGTACAAGCAAGTTAAGGTCAAGGGAAATTGGGTAAAATCCAACAGGGAGGTGGGAGGTGACAATGAGCTGGTGAGCAATAGGGGAAGGGACACCGATTCCTGGTCTCAGAATGGCTGACTCATTGAAAAGGCCCTGAGCATTAGAAACGATTTGATTCCTACGCGAGGGAGAAACAATCATTAAAAAATCGTTTCTTCCTGGCATGGGAACAATTCTTTAACGATGCATCCTTTATAAAGCAGCCACTGTTTTCCTTGGCACTTAGCTCTCACTTCCCTTCCTCTTATGAGGACACGGGCATTATGCACAGTCCTGGCAACACATTCCTCCTCTGGCCAAAGCCTGTGACTGGAGCTAAGGAAGATAATTCTGTCACCACCGAATAAACTCGGAGCACAATGAGGCAAGAGCAGAAAGAGAGGACTGGGGCCAACTCAGAGCAGAGAACCATCCCGACAAGCCTGCCCACTAGTTTCTGTTCCCGGATCTCCAGAGCCACTCTGGTTTCTCAGGATGGTTTTGTTTTGTTTTTACCAAAAGTATCTCTCCTAGATGCTTTTAATAACTTTTCTGTTTGCTCAGGTTAGCCAGAGCAGCTTGCTGTGGCGCAATACCAGTGAACTCACTTTATGTGTTAGAACCTTCAGGACACTCATAAATGTCCGAATTTATGACACTGCCCTCGGCAGTAACCAAAAGTCCCTACACAGTTGCTTAACGATGAACTTAAACAGATAAAACAATGTCAAATATTTTAGTTCTAGAATTCCCTTTATTCTCCTCACCTGGTATTTATTAACCTTTTACTGTACTTGAGGCACGTAAGTAGGTTATAAGCAAAATGAGGGATTCCAAAAATGCTCAGCCCCACTTTAGAAATCATGATATACACTTCTAATAATAGCTCATGCAACATACTAAACTATAACCTCACTTCAGCTACTTCCTGTTTAGAATACATCACTATCAGGATGGTAAACAGACCCCAAACCCGGGTTAGTCATATAATCATTCATTTACCCATTCAAATATTTTTGCACATACTGTGTGCCAGTCTTGTCATAAATAATGGTATACAGTGGTGAAGAAAAGAAACATGAACCGGGCCCTCAAAGAGATGATAATGTAATGCAGAAGAGAAACATCAATCAGATCATCACATAATTCAATGGATAATTATAAACTATTGTTAGAGCTATGAATACAACAAGAGGGTGATATGAGAAAACTGGATGGCTAGGGAGAGGCTCTTGGTAGAGTAGCATTTTTGCTGATCTCTCAAATAACATAGGAGCTGAGTGAAGAACAGGGATCCAAGGGGAACAAGGACCACTCCCATCAGAAGATGCGGTAAATGCTGAGGCTCTGATGTGGTAACGAGCTCAATGTATCTGAGAAACAGAGAGAGAGAGACAGTGTGGATCCAGCCCACAAATAAGGGGAAATGAGGCTGGAGAGAGACGTAGCGGCGTCACTGCATGAAGTCTCACAGGCCATCTTAGGACTTTTATATTTTATTACAAGTACATTGGGAAGCCACTGAAGGATTTCCACCAAAGGAGGGCAAAAAGGTAGCATTTATGTCTCCAGGGAGGATTCTGGTTGTTTTGTAGAGAAGGGCTAGAGAGGTCAAGGGCAGAGGTGGGAAGACTAAGGAGGCTGTCCAGGACAAGAGGACAGTGAGCGTGACTACAGCAGAGACGATGCCCATGGAGATGAGTGAGCAGCATAATAATCACAGAGGTAGTTTATGCTCCTGAGGTGGGCGGATGTGCTTTATCTGTGCGGGAAGGTTTGCAATAAAGCTCCCCTTGTTTGAATCCCACACTGGTTTTGCTGCAGAGAGCCACCGTGCAACCATTTTGATGAAAAGACTTAATTTTACCATTAACTCAGCAACTAAATTCGAAAAAGACCTAGATTTAAGCAAATGGTAGGAATTCTGGAGGAAGAAAAATACATTTATTTTGTATTATGAGAAAAGCATAAAATCATCACTTACTAACTAGAGTCAGTATACCAGGATTACAGCATAACACCTCTTTTTATTTGGGTTGAAAGGCACCAGCTTGGTCTTGAAGAATGCTGGCCATAGATGGATGACTGTTGCTCCACCTTGATACCCTTCCATGAACCCTCCACTGTGAACACCACCAAGGGCACCAGGCAGGTGTGTTCCCCTTTCCTGGCTGCATCATGGCACCAAAGAATCAACAATCAACAAGCTGTGTATCCCTTCTCCCATGGAGACATCACTCTTCTCATTACCACTTGTCTTCCAGGCATGAAGGGCTCCGCAGGGCCACTGTACTAGAAGACATTTTTCCAAGCACAACGAGTTCCGGGCTACTTCGGAAGCAGAAAAGCCACTCACCAAACTCTTGCTTTCAATGACCAGATGAAGGAGAATGATGAACAGAGAAGCTGTGTTCAGGGGGTTTCCAAACGTAAAGATGTCAACGTCTGAGCCCTGGTAGGTCTGCAAAGAGTGGACAACAGGAGGTGATCTTGGGGAGTCGTGAACACTCGTGGTGTGAGCATCATCACTTTATTCCATAGCTCAGCCAAGCATTGAGTCCCTTTTACAATATTCCTAATAACCGGTCATTTAGGATACACTCGAACATTTCTAGAATAGAGAGGCCAGCTCTCTCTCTGACAGGCTACCTAATCTGTGAACTTTTCAGTTGGAATTTCTCTTTACTCTGAATCATAATCCATCTTCCTGAAAATGTCTACTCATACTTCCTGCTCTTTAAGGTGTGGAGAAATATCAAATATGTTCTGTTTAACAGAGCTGCAAACCTTTGAAATAGTTATTATGGCTAACCTGAATTTATATCTCTGGTAATTAGATATCCTCTCCTCTTCTACATATATGCTTTTGATGCCTTAAATTATTCCCCATATGACACAATTTTCTGATCTTTTAAAATTCTAGTTACTCTTTTCTGAACACACTTCAGACTGCCTTATCTATATTGCTCTTGAAATGCAGTTTATCCAGAATGTTGTACCTGGGAAAAGTCAAGTCATTTTATTTGAATAAAGAACTAAAGAATAGAAATTGTTAACTTAGAGACTATCATCTTTTTCATTCTAACACCATCCATGATCAAACTACTGTTTTCTCCCAGGGATGAGTGTGTGCGTGAGCAGCTATATCATGCTGCTCTGTGCTTGATGTTGGCCTAACTTTTAAAATTAATTTGTACACATTCTTTGCTTAGTCACATTTCTTCCATTCTTTACCTGTAAAACAGGTTTTTTATTTTTTACTAGAGGCCTGGTGCATGAAATTCGTGCACTGGTAGGGTCCCTAGGCCTGGTCAGCAATCAGGGCCGATCAAGGGGGCCCCCACTGGCACCCACCTTGGCTGGTGGCCTGGTGCTGCCCACTCACCAGCTCCACCCCCTGCCACCGGTCTGGGCCTGTGGGCTAGGGCAGCTCCTGCATTGAGTGTCTGCCCCCTGTTGGTCAGTGGGAGTCATAGCAATGGGTCATTCTGCCATTTGGTTGATTTGCACATTAGGGTTTTATTATATAGGATTTTTGGGGAGACTGTTTATAAGAGCTTAAATTTAATACTCTTAATGTTATCCTGGTAGAATTAGCCCAGCACTCACTAAAAATAGATTTTATATTCTGGCTTTGCCTCTCTGATTTTGGTTCATTCAATTATATTGCCAGACTTTCAATTTCACTTAAATCATTGAAAAAAATTATCAAGCAGCACAGAACCAAAAAGAGACCTAAGAGGACTTACCTAGGTACTTCTTTCCAAATTTAATCCATTATCTAAAATCAATTTCTTGGGGGGGAGGGTATAATTTAGTCAGTTAATAATCAACTTGATTCTATGAGCAATCTGCTCTAATATAGCCATTCTATATGCTAGTACCAGCCACAGAGTACAAAGAAACATCATTGATTCATTAGTAAAAAACCCTCTGAGTGGACACGGACTCACATAGTAAGGCACAAAGAAGCAGACCAGGCTTTGATAAAAGGCATCCAACAAGGTGATCCAGAAGGTGAGGGGTAGGTATGCCTGAGAATGAAACAGATATCAGGGAGGGAGAAAGATTAATAAGGGCCACGCAGAGTTAAGGAACAATACAAGCTAGTACTTATTTTTGCTTCTCTGGGAGAAACATCTCTTCCTTCATTTGTTCATTCAAAAACAGGTGGGATTTGTAAATAGTGGTGGAAGAATATGGGGCGATATTGAATAAGTTCACAGGTGAAAAAATCCCTGAAGGAACTCTTAAACTTGTGTTGCTTTACTCTTGCATCAACCATAAAGCTACCTCAGATAGGGAGAGTGATACTAACTTTCCATTTCCTATTGATCAGAAAATGCTTTCCATTTCCTATTTCAAAAGCGTCTACAAATTTATCTACTTTTCTCTATCTCTACTACACTCTTCATTCTAATTCACCATCAATCTATAAATGACTGGATAGCCGACTAACTAGCCTCTTTGCCTCCTCTCCTACTCTAATCCAATCTTTTCATAACAGCCAGATGTTTTTAAAAACTATAAATCAGATCATAACATCTTCCAAACTAATCAAAGTGACCTCTTCCAATCACCTTGCACTGCATTTCCAATACAATCTAAGCTCCTTCTCATGGTCTGTAAGGTCCTGCATGATCTGCCCACTGCGTCCCTGCTCTCCAGGGTCACCCCTACAATTCTTATCCTCATTCCCATACTCTCACCACACAAACTTCATTCTGTTCCTCAAACATATCAAATCCATCGTTTTCTGAGTCTTCACCAGTGCTATTTTCTCTACCAGAAATCCTTTGCCTTGAACCTCCCACATGACCAGTTCTTCACTATTCATATCCTAGCTCAAATATCACTTCCTCAGAGAGGCATTCCAGACCAGTCTAAAAGTAATGCCCACTCAATCATTTCCTACCATGGCATCCTTAGGAGTCTCTCACCACTATAAAAAATAATCTTATTTGTTTACACAGTGGTTTTCTGGTCTTCTCAACAGAATACAAGTTTTATAAAGTGGGATTTTGGTTCTTTTAGTCAAATGTTTAAAACAGTACCTGGCACAGAGCAAGTACTTCACAAATATTTGTTGGAGTAATATACTACTCTAACTTATCATGTGCTTATTACCAGAAGCTTATAGAAAGAAACGGAAAGATCAAGGAGAGACACTTGATCAAGTAGTCACAAGTGATTGAAAACCTGTTTTCAATCCAAGAGCCAGCTTGGATTGAACGGTAATGTGTGTGCAGAAGGATTCTGAGGCTGCTCTCAGACCCAGTGGGAAGGGTAGTACATTATAGTTTATCAGTGATATTGGCCAGACAAAACTGGCATCACATGCAGCATATCCCTGAGCTAGCCTTTTATTTTGTCAACATGTCCTTAGTCTCATTACCTTCCAAATGCAAAAAAAGAGGCTAAAATTTCCTTGAAAATATCTAATTGTCTCCTGAAGCTTTATAAATGTACAAATTCTCCATATACTTCTTTCCACTCTTCAAAAGACTACACTTGCAATTTTTACATCTATCCTTTCTTATCTCTTTGTCCTTTGGAAAATCAAACAATGGAGATTCATTGTTTCCAGCCTACTGTTCCCTGTACCTCCTTTTACTATTTCCTCATCGGAAATGATGGGATCTTTCACCTGCCTTTCTTCATCCCAGTGTCCATAAAATCTATGTAGAAGCACAATCCACTGGTGGGAGAGAACACAGCAGAGTCAAAGGGTCAACCAAAATGCCACGGAACAAGAGAGACAATTTGGGAGTAAGTTAAATACAACTTCATGATTCTGGGGAAACAGAGGCTGCTCAAAAAACTTAGAGCAAAAAGTTAAAAAAAAAAGTTTCTCTACACTCACGTGAGTAAAGGGACTACAGGAAGTGGAGAGAGAAGGGTCAAGAGTAAGATAAATGGGAGGCTGAAGGAAATAACTCATGAGATCTCCTGGAAACCAAAAGGCAAAATCGGGACCTGAAGTTAAAGCCAGAAAGGAAGGCTGTGAGGGTGATGAGAGATGGGTAGAGACAACCGCTTCTTGGAAGGGAAGCCTTTGACTGCAGGGGAGAGAGTCTATAACCAGGAGAGTATATTTCATGACACTAGAGACAGGAAATGGCCCAAGCATAAAACAGAATTTGTTTGGAGGCCAAGTTCAAGGAAAGGACAACTCTTTTGGAAGGTCAAGTCAATGAAGTCAATGACCTTTTATCAGTAGCCACATGCTGGAATCTGCCTATTATCATGTATTATACAACTGGCCGGCTCAGTAGAACAATGTGTGCAAAGGATTGATAACAGGGTTGAACAACAGAAAACAATAATCTCAACTCTTCCAAGGATAAGGACAAATTATAATCTTCAGCTTGTACAAATGGGCTTTTAAAACACCAGCTATAAACATTCTGAAGGGCCCTCCCTCACCTCTCATTCTCCCCTGGGTACAGGACAACCTTCATTAATATCAACCACACATTCCTGCATCCTGGCTTTGAACTTTAAGTCAGATTGGACTCATTTAGGAAAACCCCAAGATGCTATTTGATCTTAATGGACAACATGAAAGGATTATAAGGATTTCTTCTCAGGAAGCTGATTGTGTGATTTCTCCTGTGGTGACTCCTTCACATAACCTATGGACATTAAATTACTCTCCCATCTGGAAAGGCAGTTCAAGCCACAGTGAAGTTGGACTAATGAAAATTAACACATCATTTTTAATATGGTGTTTCCCCAAATTTCTGGTTAATCTGGGGGTATAAAATATAACAATATTGAGAGCTAGAATTTGTACACACACTATCTTACTTAATTCTCACACCATCTCTATAAAGAAACTGAAGGGCAGGCAAGTTAAATAACCAACAAAGGTCACACACCACAGAAACAGAATTTAAACTCAGGCTAAACATAACCCATAATTTCTAACGTGCTGATCTGTGTCACCATTTCAAGAACAGCAACAGAAGGCCAACACAGAGATTTCATCTGGTGGATCTCAGTCCTGTCTGCCCAGTCCTTCCACAGAAAACCCTTCTTGCCAAACCTGACCATGTGGTCCAGCCCTAATGAGGAAAGATACACGTCCCAGGCCTAGTCAATGAGAAAACATTCTCAGCACAGTGATAAAACACAGGGAAAGGCCTGGGACTCCACCTTGGCCAGTGAGTTATAACATAACTATAAATGAGGACATTTACAGCTGCTTTAAGAATAATAGCGTTCTGTTACCATTACACCTGGATTTTGCAATATATGAGACAATTAATTTCCCTTTCTCATTAAGCCAACTTGAGCTGGCTCTTTGTCACTTGCAACTGAAACAGTCTTCACTAACAGAATCCTCTTCTCAAGATTAGAGTATCTGACTAGACTGATCCCCCTCAGCAGGTGTCTTTAGGTTACGGGTCCACCTCAGTTCCGTGATCCTGCCAGTGTGCTTGTGAGAGCACTTTGCATTTCTGGCACTAACCGTGGTGTTTGTGTTGGGGGAAACCCAAGGACTAAAGATAGCATCGGTGTTCTTTCTGCAGCAAAGCATTAGCGGTAGACTCCGTGGGCTCAGGAGCCGGGTTCCCCTGCACCACACGCTAAGCCCTGGGACTTGGGAAGATACTTAAGGTGCCTCCCTGTGCCTGGCTTTCCTCACCTACAATGTGGACAATGATAGCATCTATCTTGCAGGGTCATTTTGAGATTAGATTTATGTATGTTATACACTTACAACAGGGCCTGGTATACAGGAGGCATGACATAAATGCTTGTAAGTGCAATCTTAATATTGGTTGTTATCAATTTTGTGAAAGATGAATTAGAAAGAAAAGAGTTGTGACAGCTAACTCAATCGGCAACTGTAATATTCTAAGAGACAGCAGGGCAGTGAGGGAAGGGTGGAAAGGGAGACAGGTATAAGTGACATGTCACTGGTAGACGGGTAGGACCATAACATCAATAAAGTGGAGGCGGGGCATGGTTTTAGGGGGAGGGTGCCATGAAGATCACTCTCCAGGTTTATGTGACAGTGGAACCTGGAGGACTTAACTTTGGCTTTGGAACCAGATTGAGAAGGGGTCTCGCACTGGCTCTGGCATTTTCTAACTGTGACGTTTTTGGAAAAATTCCTTAACCCCTTTGGAGGTTCAGATTCTTCATCTCCGAATGGGAACAACACCAGGTTCTCTCTCAGAGTGTTTTCTGAGATAAATGAGACAGGGATGTTTAGTGGTTTGCACAATAAAGGGCAGAGTGGAGTTTAGTAAATACTAGATATCATTAGCTATAAGGTCTAAACACTGGATTTGCTCTCTTCTAAGTACTTAAGGTCTTTCATAATTTTACCGCTGTTCACCTCGGAAGTGAATAATTTAATATCTGCTGTTAGCAGAAATCTGAAATAACCAGCTGATTTGAATAGTTTTGAATAGTTCTGCATGTACCACAATAGTGGAGCTGGGCTGCCTGAAAAACCCCAACTTTGACAACGGATGTGCATTTTCTAAGCGTCTTGGCTTTAGCACCTACCTCTGATTCCTGGCCACTCTTGTAAAGTTCAGGCAGCTGCACGAGGGTTTCTGCAGACACGTCTTTCTCCAAAACACCATAGATGACGGGAGGGGCAGATGTGAAAAGGAGGTTGAAGAAGATCAAAACCCAATAGTCAGTCATGGATGTTCCTGAAAACCCACAAAAGAACTGGTACCAGAAAAGGAGGTTCACATAGGCCTAGGAACACAAAGAGGAACATTCGCATCTTAGAAACAGCAATGCAAGCGGGACTACACATCCACATGCCACCATTCCCACCTCTGATGGCAACCTCAGTGCCGTTTCCTTACTTACAAAAGGAAGACCACATCTTACTGCGCAGCTTTTATTGGGGTGGGGGAGGGGAGGGAGCAAATGTTCTATTAAATTCAAACACACACACTACATACTGTGTGGTGCTGGCACAGTTCTAAGAGCTTTACAGAGAATTCATTTAATCATCATAACCACTTGGGAATTATTCTTGTCCCCATCCTACAGATGAGGAAACTGAGGCACGGAGGGACTAAGGAACTTGCCCAGAGTTACCTGTCTAATAAGTGGCAGAGCCAGTATTCAACTTGAGATATTTTGGCTCTGAATGAAGAGAACCCAGTCCCATGCCTGGTACGTACCCAGCATACAACACATGTTCATTCTCTTGCTTTTCGGGTTCACAATCATTTTTTAGTGATGAAATGGAACAGTGCCAACAGGATGGCCAACCATCCAGTTTGCTTAGGACTGAGGCATTTTCCAGGAGATGGGACTTTTGCTACCTAAAACGGGACATTTCCAGGCACAGCAGGACAGTCAGCCATCCTGGAGACTAGGGGCATATACTCTGCATTGTTTCCTCCCACATTTTGTCTCAAATAAACTAAGTCCATGATGGCCCAGGAACATTTTAGAGGCCTGCTAGAGAATTCTCACATTGTAAATGTATGCCAGCTATGGCAGAAGGCATCATACTGGGTTTTCATCTGCATCTTCAATGTAACACAAGGAACATCAATTTGGGGACAGTAGCTCCTGTAAAATGGAAGCAAACCTGTTCATTCGCTACTGACAAGTAGTATTAAACATTTCATCATCCTGCTTGTGGCAGCCTTTACAGGGAAGGTCAAAAATTGGATTTTAAATGAACCAGACAGGCTTTAATTGAATTTAAACGCACAGGGAATAGAATATGCTAGCGGGTGGACAAGCCTAGCAATTGGCTGTCAGCAGCTGAAACATAGCACATTCCAGATTATTTCCGTTAAGACAGGAGGGGTGTTCCTGGATGCCCCCAACACATCAATAAGTGAAGTGAGCTTCGTGTAGGACACTTCCTTTTCATCCCGTAAGCAAGCAGGATTGAAAGGTGGGAGGGGGAAAGGGATATATTCTCTGGAGCTACATACCACGTTCTTGTAGAAAAAATAGAGAATCATGTTGGACAGTCGTGTATAACACCAGTGCCCGTGGACAAGAAGGAGCTTGCTGAGATGTTTAAACTGAGAAATGGCAAAGTCACTGGCCATCACAGCCTGCGGAGGCAATGAAGAGAGAATCACCCTGAGCAATCACACATGTCAGAGCAGATCCAGCATGGCAGCCTGACCACCACAGGCTCGTCAGTCAAATGTGTGGTTGAAACCTTACATACAGACCAAAAAAGAAAAAACCCTCAAAAAAAACCACACACACACACACACACACAAAAGAAAGCCCAAACCAAAAAAAACAACAACAACCCATAAACAAACAACTCCAAACAAACAAAACCCTTACAGAAGCCTTAACAGGTTGCCTGAAGTTACTACTCAGCTTTCCGATATGGTTGAATGAAACATGACTTCTCCTTGGTCACTACTCATGATGTAACTTCAGCAAGTGAACTTTCCTATGAAGCAGCTCCCTTAGCAAGAACTGTATGAATTACATGTGCATTCACGTCTCCTCAATGAGGAGAATATCAAAATCGGAGTCATAATTTTATGGAACTTTGTATGTGTCAGGCAAAGAGATACTTGAATTTCTAATCTTTTGTACAGATGTCATCATTTACAATTTTTGGGAAAACCTAAGTCTCACGTCCTACCTTCCTCCCACAACATTTGCTCCCTACACAAAAGCAGTTTTGGGTAAGCTTCTATCTGAATTCTGTGCCTAAAACACTATCTGACACATAGGCATCTGTGCATGCATGCAAATGGGACACTCCCATTCTCTCCTTTTCTCTCTTTTTCCTCTCTCTTTAGGATCTTTAGTTCTCTTATTCAAACCCTTAGTAGTCTTTTTTCAGTTGCAAAAGTCACATTATTGCATAATATGTATACACAGTTATGATCTAGGTTAGTTATATTTTTTAAACTGAACAGGTAAACCATGGAGCTAAAATTACCCAGGAAAAGACCATAATGCCCAGTAAATAATCAATGAATAAATGGATAAACTTCCTGTTTCCTGCTCCTGAGCTAACCAGAGAGGCTCATTCTACCACAGATATTTTACCACAAAGAATGCGACCTTGGGTGGGCAGATCAAGTTCATAGAATTTGGGTGCACAGCATCCACTCACCTGCATGCCTTCCTGACCTGAGATCCCTATCCCAATGTCTGCCACTTGTATCATGCTAACGTCATTGGCACCATCACCTGTATGGGACAGAAGAAAAGGCGAGAAACATATGAGGAGTAAAGAAATGATGCAAATCAATATTGACCACTCAAGCAAACAGACACATCCTTCAAAGTTTACCCCATGTCTTCAAGATGCCTGGAAGCTAGTTAAGCAGAAATTAAAGGTGGCACCCAACTACCATCAGGATGAATTCCAAATTCAGTTCTGCCTTAAAATTTTTCATGCTGTGGCACCTTTCTGGACTGATCTCTCCTTTTTCTATGTCACTCACTCTACTTTCAGTTTTCCAGATATATAACCTGCTTCTTCCAGCCACTGCACATGCTGTTTTTCTATTCTTATAACACTGTCCTCATCACCCCCACCCCACCTTACCGGGTTTAATTGCTCTTGATCTCAGTTTAGATGCTACTTCCTCTGAGAGATCCATCTCATATTCCATTTAGATCAGATGCCCCTTCCTTAGGCTCTACCACCATGCTGTGTATCTCTATTATACCCATCACATGCTATTGTGCTTGCTATAGAGCTCTTGGTCTCCCCAACACACTGGAAGCTTCTTAAGGAGAGCTACTGCCTTTCTGTTGATAATGAATATTTATTGTTCCCAACTACCCACCAACCAGTCACTTGCTTTCTGGTAATAGTATCCTGATTTTCCTTGGGAACTATGAATCTATGTGGCTTGTTAATACAAATCCAAACCCCCAGAGTTAGAATGGACAAATGACCCAAGCTTGGACAGTTAGCATTATCTGTTATTGGCTTCAGTGATTGGTTCAGATAAGGTCACATGATATAACTGACATGTCCATCATCTCTTGCCTCATTATTTCAATAGCCTCTCAACTGGTCTCCTTACTCATGTCTATACACCACTACAATTACTCTTAACACAGGAGACAATGTGATCCTTTTAAACTTAAGGCAGATCGTGTCCTTCTCCTGCTCAAAGTACTCCAATGACTCACTATCTCTTCATATAAAAGCCAAACATTTATAATGATCTCCAAGAATCTACATGGTCTGGCCACCTGCCACCTCTCTGTCCTTCACTAACCTGCAGAAAATTCTTCCCTTCCCTCAAATTTTCTTTGGCCTCAAAGCATGGTCCATGACCTTCATTTCCATCATCTTCGCTGCCAGGAATGTTCTCCCCACAGATTTCCCTCCCATGGCTCACTTATCATTTCCTTTAAGTCTCTCCTCTCATACAATCTTATCAGTGAGACCTCTGAAACACATATTTCAAGTAGCAGCCCCCTCTCACTCCCCTAATGCCCTACATCCCCAAGCTCTGCTTTATTTTTTAATAGTATTTGTCACTCTGTGATATCTTATATATTTATGCTTTTTTGTTTCATTTCATTGGTTACTATATTCCCTCCTACTAGATGTAAGCTCCTTAATAAGAGGTGCTTTGTCAGCTGTACATACTCTTAGATGATCTCCATTGCCAAGAAAAATGGCACATAACAGGCAATCAATAAATATTTGTGAATAGATAAAGCAATTGTTCATGTCCCTGAATTAAACTTTCCTAAGGTAGAGCTAGATTTTTCAGTTCTATGATTCAATACATTACCCTTCTTAATCCAGTTGATTTGGGGTTATAACACGTAACCTAAAGTCTTGACTACTATACTGTCACATTCCTACCACCTGGTTCATAGCAGCAGGTGGTCAAATAGGTGATGGAGAGAAAGGGGAAAGGAGTGGGGGAATGGAAAGAAAGAAGGAAGAAAACGGGGAGGGAAAGCACAGCCGGCCAGAAAGGTAAACAGGCATACAGAAGGAAGGACAGACAGAAGGATCAGTCTTGGTGTGGCAGGAAAGTGAGAAGCACAAGGCGAGGTCCCGTCCCCACTCACCGACGGCCAGGGTCATCACCCGGAGATGGCTGCGCACCAATTTCACCACCTCGCTTTTCTGCAGGGGTGTGGCTCTGCAGCAGACCACAGCTTGGCAGCAAGCAGTCAGCTCCAGGAACTGCCTCTGCAGGCTCTCCTGCAGGGCGAACTCCAGGGTCTTCCCAGTGATAATGAGCCCAGCCCGCAGCCCTGAGTCCCGGGGGGCGGAAGGCTGGTGTAAATCCTCACTTAAAGATGCTTGCTCTGGAGAGACTGGGCTCTTCTTCTGAAGTTCTTTCAAAATTGTGCCCATCAGCACCTCACAGGCATCCTTGAAGCAAGAGGTGAAGACAGTTAGCCTTGGGGCTCTTTGGTGGCCACATCCAGCGAAATCTGTCACTGTCATTCTTTAGCAATTGCTGCACCATGGCAACCCTTGGTACTTTCAAAGACCCAACAGCTCTTCCACAAAGACTTCTGTGTGTATGTGGGAAGCAGTTAAAAGGATGAGGACAGTTCATGTCCAATTCTACAGCTAAAAAATAGTTATGGAATGTCTTTATTTGTGCAAGTTACCTTCTCAAACAGTGAATCTCAAGAACCCTTTGGTCTTATTCTGCCAGTTACTAGCTGCTTGACTTTAGGCAAATCAGGTAACCTCAAGGTTGTCATCTGAGAAATGTAAATGTTGTCTACATCCTAACATCATTGTGAGGAATAAGTGAAAGAATGCATGCAAAGCTCTTAGTGTAAGGCATGACACAGCAGAATTTAAATCAGTAATTATTGTTTTCATATTCTTTATTTAATGCATTCACCCATCCATCCATCCATTCATTCACTAAGTATTTATAGAGGAACTACTGTATGTTAGAAAACATTCTAGGTACTGGGGATATGCCAATGAACACAAAAATCCCTGCCCTCGTGGAATGGATATTCTGGTTGGGGCATTCTTAGTGGTGATCATCACGTCTGGTGCTCATTGCTCCACTCGCCTCACCCACACTAGTTAGGAAGTTCTTCTTTTAAAGCCTTCACAATGCCTAACAGAGGGTCACATTAGACATTCAATCAATATTCACTGAATGAATTCTACTCAAGAAGACTAACAATCAATCTATCCAGAAATTGTGTCAAATGACTGCTAAGCAGAGAACCAAGTGAAATCCAGGAGCAGTGCATTTATAGTTATCAGCTGAGCCTGAAATTGTTAATTCATCAAAGAGCCCCTCACTCAGAGGCCATTGACTCTGATTTCAAATGCTGTTTTATCAAGCATTTCTCAACCCGCAACAACATGAGATGGGTAGGGAGGAAGGAGATACGGCTATGTAGGCAGGACACAACAAGGACTTAATAACTGCATGACCTATAAACGAGAGATTCCACTTTACAATGGAGCTACCTGGCAACCTTTACCTCTGGAACAGATCTGATCCTAATACTACGAACAGTCTTTGTAGCCTTCACAGGCTCACAGTGTACAGAATGCAGCCTGAGTGGATGCCCTCCAAAATACGGACCTAAGTTTTCTGTAGTTTTATGATTCTAGATTGATTACATAGATGGTATTATCCTCTTATTTGCATATGTATGTGTTTAGTTTATAAATTAACTGTGCTTTTTCACACCTACATGTAGTTGATCTTCATTATTTGTGGGATTAGCGATTTCACCTATTTGCTGAAATTTGTCTGAAATCCTACATTGAATACTCATGCTGCTTTTGCAGCCATTTGTGGCCATGGACAGAATGACAATAAATGAGTCAAGAGTTGTGCACCTGTCCAGTGAAAGCTGAGCAAGGTGACATTCTGCCTTCTTACTATGTCAGCTCCCACACTGTAAACAAGTGTCCTTTTCATTATCTGTTAGGTGACATATTTTTTTTTTTTTTGCATTTTGGGTGCTTTTTCTTGGTGACTTCACGGTTCAAAATGTTCCCCAGGTATAGTGCTGAAGTGCTGTCTAGTGTTCTTATGCAAGATAAAGCTATGAGGTGCCTCACGGAGAAAATATGTGTGTCAGATAAGGTTTATTCAGGCATGAGTCATAGTGCTGTTCAGTGTTAATGAATCAAACATGTGTGCATGTATGTGTGTATGGGTGTGTATAATAAGGTGTCTGTAAACAGAAACACACATGAAACAAGGTTATATATTGATTGGTTGACCAAATAGTTGTGACCAGAGGGTCCCAGGAACCTAATCCTGTATTTCCCTTAGGGGTAATGGATCAGTATTTGCTAACTCAGTATTTTTGACAACTTTATATAACTTAACTCAATGAATAATGAGAATCAACTGTATGTAAATATATACAGACAGGTTAATACAGATTATGTGATATGTAATATACTATAGAAAGCATACTTGCAAGTAATCAGCTATAGGTACTTAGGCAAATCATCAGGACGTTTTCAAATTTCAAGCTATAAAACAGGAATACTGTAATTTTATCTGCTTTACTTGTTATAAATATCAATGATATTATGTATGAAAAAGCCTTTTATAGACTAATAAACATGAAAATAATAAGTTGCTATCTCAGGAGAATATTTAAAATGAAATTATAAAACTAAAACTTAAAAAACTAAATGATGAACCCTGAAAGGCCTTTAAATATCACAGTACAGTAAATAATCTAGGAAATAATTAAAACATAAAAGCAAAAAAACTTTTATGAGAATGGGAACTTTGTACAGTTTATAAGTGGCTACATTTACTATAATCCAATTTACAAAGTTAGGACCAAAAGTTGATGAGATTTTTAACATTGAGTACTGCACTGTAGAATGAGCAGACATTCCATTAGTTGCCAGAGGCTTATTTAGAATGTCACAGGAGCAATTCCTCCCCTGAATGACAAATTGGGCTCCATGATCTTCAATTCCTTTTACTCCTAGCATCTCCAGAGGGGTGTAGAGTGGAGAAAAGAGGAAATAATACCAGTGATTGAGCCCCTATGATGTGTTTGGCATTTTATATGCATGGACTAAAATCATCATAAAACTAATTAAGTTTACTGTGTTCTGTTTAGTTATTCTCCCTGTGCTTTTCGATAGCAAAAGAAATAAAATAATCTTTTGAACTTAGAACACTCCACAGCTGATACACTGTGAAGATTTCTTGGATTGGTAGTGTAAATGCTTTTACCATAAATTGTGTATTTACAAATAAATGTCAAAATGCTAAAAATTCTACTGCTCATAAAATGCCAAAATTAAACACCAAAAATTGATTATTTTCCCTTTTTAAGATTCATAGAACCCCTTGCCTCTGCCAGGCAAAATATTAAACAATTTACATTTTCGCATTTAAAGTCTACATCGACCATATGAAACAGACATTACACTCACTTTACAGGCAAGGGAAAGGCTCAGGAAGGTAACTCCCCAAGGTCACATACCTGGTCACTGGCAGGCCAAGTATTTGAACCTGGATCTTATCAGCCTTAGAGCACATCCAATTTAGTGATTACAATGACTAAGCATTTCTTGTGCTCAGCCTCTGGCTGACACTGGGAGCTGGCTGGTGATTGTGGTTAGGGTCCCTGGGCCACTATCAACTGCCGAAGAGAACTTACTTTGTGTTGACTATGGAAAATTTTATTTCCTCTAAGTGTACAGTCTCGTTGGGTATGGACTGAGGCCTGATCATAGAAACATGGCTAACAAACATGGCCGCCGGTGACCGAGTCCTAGATGTGACCAGGTGAGAAGCTCCGGGGTCTGAAAGTCAGGGGGCCTTGACAGAATGGATGTCAGTGATTCAGTCTGACTACGGAGGAAGGAGTGAGGAAGGTTTCCCAAGCGAATTACACAATATGCAGAAACCTTAGAATATCACTATGATAGGAACTTTCTGAAAAAAATAAAACAATTGTTTACTGATTAGAACGTGTGTGTTAGAGATTAGGTGGGAAGGGAGGGGTTAGAAAAAACAGTTGGGTCCAAACCTCTAAGTTCCTTTTCCTTACAAAAAAAATCCCCTTCATCCCTGCTTAAAGAGTTTGTCCAACTTTTGGAATTCTCAGTAGCACTGTACAAGAATTACCACCAGAGGGCATGCTTACCCTGAGAGTCTATTTTTAGAATTACTATGAAAATATGAATTTATTCACCCGATTCCAATAGAAATCATCACTTCCTCTCAACTTGAAAGGGAGGTAGATTCCTGTCCTAGAGCTTGATATATTCTGTCATTATGGGCTAATCTTGTCAAATCCCTGGTAAGCCACCCAATAAGAGAAGGGAGAGGGGGGAATAAAAAAGAAACTTCCTTTTCATACCTTTACTCAGCAATGGCTCCTCTGAACCATTCTGACATCTCACCAAACCTTTAGAAGAACTATGGTACCCTCCCCCAAGCATGAGCTAGGCTGCTGCATAGAATAATTATCAAGGAGCTAATGGTTATCAGTTTTTCTTCCTCCTCACATTCATCAAATCACAAATGCTCCACTGGCTTTGAAAAAAGACCAGTTTAAATCTCATGATTCATACTTTACTCTGGGTATTGAGGATAAAGAGCTTGTCATCTGGCTCCAGCAGTTTGCACGCGTAGGCGATGTTGACAGCTGTCTCCTGCTTGTCCCCTGTCAGCATCCAGATCTTGATGCCAGCTTTGTGAAGGGCATCTATAGACTCGGGGACTCCCTCCTGCAGACGGTCTTCAATGCCAGTGGCACCTACAAATTCACCAAAGTGCAACAGGGCTTGTAAGAAACTCAGCCAGCTGAGGCTCACTGAGGCTATAACTGAGCCCTATCTATAAGTCAACCCAATCTTGCTCCAGTAACTTCCAGGGATCCAAAGGAAATGTGAAGACTCAGACCAAAATCACATACAAAGTAACATTTTCAGAAGGAAGCCTTAAGAATCAATAAGTTTATCAAACTTACTTATTCTCTCTCTGGCTAGCTTTCTTTTCTATAAATTGAGGGGGCACTGCTTGGTTACTTATCTAACCTTACTCTATAATTTTATAATTCTACTAAAGGCCCAGTGCACGAAATTCATACACTGGTGGTGGTGTGTGTGTGTGTGGGGGGGGGGTGTCTCTCAGCCCAGCCTGTGCCCTCTCGCAGTCTGGGAGCACTCAGGGGATGTCCAACTGATGGCTTAGGCCCATGGGGAGTGGGTCTAAACTGTCGGTCAGACATCCTTAGCACTACCACGGAGGCAGGAGAGGTTCCCACTACTGCTGCTGTGCTTGCCAGCCGTGAGCCCAGCTTCTGGCTGAGCAGCACTCCCCCTGTGGGAGTGCACTGACCATCAGGGGGCAGCTCCTGCATTGAGTGTCTGCAACCGGTCATTCTGCCATTCAGTCAATTTGCATATTAGCATTTTATTATATAGGATGATACTCCCAAAGGTAAGAGCAGAATTTTAAAGAATGCTCTTGTCAATAAGACAAAACACCTATTTTCAATGCTCTTTCCTAGTGTAAGTCCACAGTTCCCTTTTCTGAAATACGGCCAGATAAGTATTGGAATTAAAAACTTTTGCAGATTTAAAAAAGATAATATGGTGCATATATATTTTGTAATATATGGTCATCTAGCATATTAATATTTCTGCAGCATAACATACACATGGTCACACTAATTAGGATAATAAAGACTTATAAACACTCTTATCAAATCAGGCCTGATTTTGCTGCCCAGTGAGTTCTGGCCCACAGAGTATCTTAGAGTTTGGAATTTCAGATGAGGAAATGTCAACCCAGAGTACTCACTGTGTCACTGAGAAAGGACTTAGCAGTGGGCATCATTATCCTATTGGCCAGGGGCTAAGAGAGAGCATTGCTTTTCTCTGAACCAGAGGAATGGGGCCCAGAGGTTGGTCCCTTGGGATATTAGTGGTTATACTGGAAACCAGATCTCTAGGTCTAAGGCAGTGGTTTCCAACCTTGTCCCCTCTTAGAATTACTTGGGGAGCTTTTAAAAATTCAAATGTCCAGGCCACACATCAGAGCAATTGAATTAGAATCCCAGACACCAGCATTTTTTAAAGTGCTCCGGAAGATTTCAGGATACAGTTCAAGCTGACACAAGGGGTGTCAGTGTGCAACCTTTGGTGGAAATCAGGAAGTCAGAGAAATACATTTCATTAGCCCAGCATTCAGGTCAAGAATAAAGAACATGGGCCCTAGAACAAAACCCATACAGGTGGGCCAGAGCGTCTCCCTAGCTTTGTCAGTTACGAGCATGTGGCTTTGGACACGTCACTGACTGCTCTGTGCTCCAAGTTCCTTCTAAATAAAATGAGGATTTGTTGTGCAGATTCAAAAAGGCAGCACATATTAAGTAAGGTATACAGTGCCTGGCAAGACACTTCAGCTTTCTTCCCTGGAACTAGGATGTTTACATGATTTGTGCTCTATGTTCCAAGTTGGGTTTTTAAATGACCTCCTTAAGAAAGACCACCCCGATTCGACCACCAATAAAGTCTATTTCACTGCAGTGGGGGACGGAATAGAAGGGATTGGAAGTTGGGTAGATATGAGACGGCATAGGGTGGGCAGACCACATTTATCTATTAGATCAAAGTGGGGTGGGGGGGCCACTGGTGAATAACTTAGAAATGTCAACTGTGTTCCAAACTCCTGCATTCAGAAAATACAACATAATCTCCCTACCAAGTAAAGTCAGTTTGTTCTCCAACCTCATGGCAGATTCAAGCAGTAATTCTTCCCTGTTGTCAATGCTGGTTTCAGCTAAAAAATGATTCCTCAGCCACTCTTCATATTCAGTGTCACTCATGACCTATGGGGGGAAGAAACAAGTTATAAGGCAGTCATGTGACAATCTTGCCAGGACCGATTCCCGGAGAAATAGCAAGCCATCAACTTATTTTAGGTATTCCTCTCTGGGCATACTTGTACCGGGCCCATACCCTCATCAGACACTTCCCGAATTCTATGATCAGCCTAGTGTAACACTGACGATGAATGGAGATATACCAGCTGTGGGCAAACTACGGCCCGCAGGCCGGATCCGGCCCGTTTGAAATGAATAAAACTATTGAAAAAAAAGACCGTACCCTTTTATGTAGTGGTGTTTACTTTGAATTTATATTAGTTCACACAAACACTCCATCCATGCTTTTGTTCCGGCCCTCCGGTCCAGTCTAAGAACCCATTGTGGCCCTCGAGTCAAAAAGTTTGCCCACCCCTGAGCTATACTATAGCTCAGTATCTCTGGACCATACATGAGGAAACTGGATTAATCTATTCAGTTAAACCAGAGAGTATGCACTTGGGAGAAGTCTCCACTTATTTAAGTTCAGATGATTCCAATGGTGTAGTAGTAGCTTGAGGAAGTATGAAGTCAGCGGCAACTCTGATGTCTTTTGATGGTTGGTTTATGGGGTTAGTTATTTGTAAACATAAAAAGAGAGAACAGACCATGCTGGTAAAGCAAGGAAGTCATGTTCCAAATAAAAATTAAGAGGAATTCCTTGAGAAGGAATGAATGATGCATTTTCCTTCATCTTCAGGTGGTTCTCAACCTTCCTAATGCCGCGACCCTTTAATACAGTTCCTCATGTTGTGGTGACCCCCAACCATAAAATTATTTTCGTTGCTACTTCATAACTGTAATTTTGCTACTGTTATGAATCGTAATGTAAATATCTGATATGCTATATGTGTTTTCCGATGGTCGCGACCCACAGGTTGAGAACCACAGCGAGGGAGAAATCTACATTGAAGTTCTTATAAAGCAGCTGGAGTAGAGGGGGTGAGGCACTGTCTATCTAGTCACACACAGCTGTAAGAATGGAGAGTTCAAGATCAAAAGGGACCCTCTGCCTTTTCCATGAAATGATCCTGCCCCTGATACAAATGTAGCCCAGTGGATGTCAACTCTCTCTCTTTTGTTTAATCCTCACCTGAGGAGATGTTTTTATTGATTTTTAGAAAGTTGGAGAGAGAGAGAGAGAGAGAAAGAGAGAAAGAGAGAAAGAGAGAGCGAGAGAGAGAGAGAGAGAGAGAGAGAGAGAGAGAAGAGAGAAGAGAGAGAAACATTGGTCGGCTGCCTCCTGTACACGCCCCAACCAGGGATGGAACCCAAAACCCAGGTGTGAGCCCTGACCTGGAATCAAACCTGCAACCTCTGGTGCACGGGATGATGCTCCAACCGACTGAGCCATCTGGTGAGGGCCGTCAGGTTCTCTTAAATCAAATTACCTGGGAGGCAAGAGTGAGTCGTGTGCTAAGCAGCCTCACCTTTTTCGCTATACATAAAGTGCGTAGGCCTCGTTTGGCATAGTCATCCAAGTGTTTCTGGGTTTTCTCCCTTATTATCATCTGTTGTTTTGCCAGACTTGCTCCATCTGAAATAATTAGCAAAACACAAGGGTTCCCATCAGGCGGCCCAATTACATATTTTTTAAAATGATAGCTTAACCTACAACAAACGGCCTCGTCGTTCTGTACATTTATAAAAGGGAACCCCAGAATTCATCCTCCCGTTGCTCCCATTCTCCCTGGGGAGAGGAAAGTACCAAGAACTGAATACCAACCCTGTTCCCACACCATCAATAACAACAGTGACAATAACTATAACAATGCTATTAGTCCCTCATCAAGCATTTACAGTTTGCTCGCACTGGGAAAAGGCTGTACATGTATGGTATACAGTACAATGTCAAACCTCTGAGGAGCCTATGAAGAAGGTACTATAATCCCCATTTACTGAAGACTCAGACACAGAAGTCAGGTAACTTATCAAGACATGGCTAATGACAGCGGCCACATTTGAACCCAGGTCTGGGTAGCCCCCAAACTTAGATGCTTTCTCACCCAATCCTACTGAGCCTTCCCTACTTTGCCAAGTATGACTGATCCCCACATGTCTGCCTGTTTGTTTTCATCAACCACTGAGAGTGGCCTTTTCATCTCTGAGCCCTTCATCTCACCACCCTCAGTCCTGTATGAACCCACCTGGGGAAGCCACGGACAGCAATTCCATGATTACAGAATCAGCACCCTTCGTATACACCACAACTTGGTGGGAAAGGGGGTGCCGGACCACAACGGACATTCTTTTTCTTACTGAGTCGAAGGGCAGGATGTGTAGGAGTTGAAATGTTAATGGTCCCAGAGCAGCGAAGTCCACCATGACCTGCTCTGGTGTCCGGGACTGCAAAGTGCATTGGTAAGCCCTGGCGGCATACACCAAGGCCGCCTCATCTGGGCTCTCCGCCTCATAACACAGACTGGAGGTCAAGGGCTGTTCAGGGAGGGCGTCCACCTTGCCGTTGGCGATGCCTGCATCACCGTTTTGTTTCTCTCTTTCTGGAGGGCAAGCAGAGCTCCCGGGGCCCTGTGGGCTCCCCGCTGTCTGGGAGACCTCTCCTTCCGCAGGTGAGGCCGGTTTCACCCGGCTGAAGAGGGACAGCCTGCTCACGAAGGCGCTCGGGGCCCCAGGAGATGGCTCCTTCCCACTGGCGAGAGATGGTGAACTTGATCTTCGGACAGACAGTCTCTGGAAAAGGTTTTTAATCTCTTCCAAAGACTTAATGGGCATTCCACTTAGTGAAGAGAGTCGGATCTAGGAAGGAATTTGGGAAGGTCTCAATAATGCAGTCAAAAGTGAACTCTGAAGTCAAACTTGGCGGGGAGGGGGAATAATGAGATACAAAGAGTTACCACTCCCTTAAATAGATAGCAACTGGCCTCATGCTTACAACTGCCACAGAGAACATCAGTAAAAATAAAGAGAGCCATACTGAAAAAGATGTGCTAATGTTGATGGCATTATGAACTTCTACAACCATTCAGGATGAAATCTGACAAATAGCAAAAGACATAAAATGCTAATATTGCCAGCAGTGTGTGTACTTATTAGCAATTTTTTCCTAATGAGCTAATTTAAAAGATAGAAAAACCCATAATCTTTATTGTATGCATCCTAGCAATAACAATTTAAAGCTTGTAAGCAAATTAAGTATTCAATAATACCAGTGGCATATTCAATCGTGAAGAGCAATTAATTGGTTCCTAAAATTTTCTCCTTCAGAAATGCCCAAGGAATTAAAAAGTTTCTTCTAAAGATTATTAGTTTTATGATAGTTTGAGGGACTCATGATGGTCAATTTTTCAATCACACATGAGGTTTGTGTATTCCACAAGAATTCTGATTAGCTCCTTTTTTACTGCCTTCCTATCACTACCTTGAAATATCATGAAACTTAGGCTCCTATATACCTATATTTTATTTTCAGCCATAGAATATTATATTCTTTGGAGATAAGGTATCAATATTTCTTAAGCAGAAAACACTAAAAGATGTCTGCTTTGGAAATAGATGTATATAAAGTATCGTGTTGGGCGAAAACAGAACACTCCACAATTTATTCTCTAATTACATAATCACTTTTCAAAGGGCAACTTTCTAGTTGAAATCTTATAAAAATAGAGTGTCTGAGCAAACGAAAGCTTAATTGGAAGTGAATTATTTTTATGTTAAACTTGACCACCTCTGAAGTTGCCAAAAGAAAATGATCTGATGGAAAATTAAAATTTAATTGGGTTGTGCTGCAAATTGAATTTTAAGTGGATGTGTGCAAAAGGGGAGATAGTGATACACAAGGAAGCCAGCACAGCAAGTGGTGAATCACCAGTCTCTAAAATGAGTTTTTCTTTTTAACTGAAAATGCATTTTCCATGAATTCTAAGCTACAAGTAGACATTAGAAATCCAGCTTTTGTGGGAACTGCAAAACCTTGGTGTATTATAGATGTATTTCAGATAGATTGATTTAAAGCTAACTCAACTGGTACATGAAAAAGGTACATTCTCATGGAACATGATAATAAATCTAATACTTTGTATCTTGTTTGATACAGTGTATACTATGATGAGAGTCTCCGAAGCCTCAAAAAAAGCTTCAATTTGGTAAAAAGAAAAAACAACAACAACAAAAAAAAACTAAAGCAAAATGAACAGAGCCACATTCCACAAGAATCGCTTTCTTCAGCTACCCTCCTAGAAGCAAAATATATAGTAGCCCTGGGCCATACTTCTTGGGTTCAAATCCCAACTTCCCCACAAAACCATCCTGTTACTGGGCAAGTTACTTAACCCCAACTGTAAGACAGAAAATTACAGTGGAGTAATAGCACTTAAAATCATTTAGAACATTGTAAGTTTGCAGAGCTTGTAATCATTGTAATCATTGCAGAGCACTGATTAACTGCTGGATAAATGTTAAGATGGTATTATTAGCGGCTATTATTATTATTACTAGAGGCCCGGTGCACAAAAATTTGTGCACTCGGGGGGGAGGGGGTTCCTTAGCCGGGCCTGTGCCCTCTCGTAGTCTGGGACCCCTCGGGAGATAACGACCTGCTGGCTTAGGCCCGCTCCCAGGTGGCAGAGGGCAGGCCCAAGCCCTAGGTGCAGCCCCTGGTCGGGCTCAGAGCAGGGCCGATTGGGAAGTTGGGGCACTGCCCCCTGTCATGCACAGAGCAGGGTGGATTGGGAGGTTGCGATGCCACCCTCAGTCACGCTCAGGGTAGGGCCGATTGGGGGGGTGGGGCACTGCCCTGTCACATTCAAGGCAGGATCGATGGGGAGGTTGCGGCGCCATCCCCTGTCACGCACAGAGCAGGGCCAATCAGGGGGTTGGGGTGCTGCCCCCTGTCACGCACAGAGCAGGGCCCATCAGAGGGGTTGGGGCTCCGTACCCTGTCACGCACAGAGCAAGGTCAATCAGGGGGTTGGGGAGCTCCCCCCTGTGATGCACAGAGCAGGGCCCATCAGGGGGTTGGGGAGCTCCCCCCTGTCATGCACAGAGCAGGGCGGATCAGGGGGTTGGGGCGCCACCCTCTATCATCCACAGAGTAGGGCCGATCAGGGGGTTGGGGCGCTGCCACTGTCACACTCAGGGCAGGGCCAATGGGGAGGTTATTGTTCTACCTCATCATACACAGAGCAGGGCCCGTGGGGTGGGGGGGTTGGGGCGCTGCACCCTGTCACACACAGAGCAGGGCGGATAAGGAGGTTGTGGCCCTGCCCCCTGTCACACACAGAGCTGCAGGGTGATCAGGGGGTTTGGACGCTGCCCCCTGTCACGGTGATCCCGGTGCCGGGAGACCTCTCAGCTCCACTGATCCCGGTGCTGGGAGGCATATTACCCTTTTACTATATAGAATAGAGGCCTGGTGCATGGGTGGGGGCAGGCTGGTTTGCCCTGAAGGGTGTCCTAGATCAGGGTGGGGGTTCCCACTGGGGTGCCTGGCCAGCCTGGGTGAGGGGATTTTGGCTGTTTGCAGCTGGTCACACACCATTCAGGGTAGGGGTCCCCACTGAGGTGCCTGGCCAGTCTGGGTGAGGGGCTGAGGGCTGCTTTCAGGCTGGCGGGTGACTGAAGCTCCCAACTGCTCCTTTTTTTCTTTTTTCTTTTTTTTTATTCTGGGCCAGCTTTAACTGTGACTCCAGCTCTGAGGCCTCTGCTGCTGAAAGCAGGTATCTGGTTTGTTTGGGTTCTACAATTGAAACACTGTTTCAACTCCAGCTCTGAGATCCCGGCTGGCTGAAAGCAGGTTTCTGGGGTTTTGTTTAGCTTCTATATTTGTAACAATGTTTCAAACTGCAAGCTCAGAGGCTGGCAAGACAGCCGGGGAACGTTGGTTTCCTCCGTCACTGAAGCAAGGAAACCTCATGTTAGCTTCAAGCTACCTGGCTGCCGGCCACCATCTTGACTGGCAGTTAATTTGCATATCGCCCATATTAGCCAATGGGAAGGGTAGCAGATGTACAGCTAATTACCATGTTTCTCTTTTATTAGATAGGATTATTATCCACATAACAAGACCAGTACAGGTACATTTAAATCCAAAGTTCTCTTCTGGAAGGTGACCTTTGTTTGCATTAGAGACCTTACCTTTTGTCGTGGTTGGTTAGGAGCAGAAACCACTACTGTGTTGCAAATTGCCAAAGCAATAAAGAAGTCAATGATGTACAAACTCTCCTGTGGTGGGTCTGGGAGAGTCTCATCCACTGGGCCAAAGAGCTGAGGTGTAATCTGACTAAATTTGTCCAAAAGCCTGGTGTCTGGCACCACATCTGTTTCCTGGAGATCCAATAAGACAAAGTGTTATTATAACAAATGTCTAAAAAGGAGAGTTTTAAATCTAAATGCGAAGTAGCTTTTATAACCACAACATATGAATCATGACACAGTAAACTTTACTCTTCTAAAAAAATATTTAATCTACATGTTATTTCCTAATAACATTCCACGAGGCATGCCTGAGGGTTCCGACAAGAGATTTCAGATCATCACAATTATATGGCAACTCTACTCTGCGCCCTCCTCTTAAAAACTTTTTGTACAAATTGGCTCTAACAAGTTGTTATTGAAAAAAATACCCCATTTTGTTTAACACAGTACTCCTCACGCTTATTTAGGAGTGCTAGTTCTAGTAAAGAACACTATAGTAGAAATCTGTTTATAATCCAGTAACATACAATCAACTGCCTTAGGAATTTTTCAGATGAGTCAAATGAGGAACTTCAAATCAAGTTCACAAAAATGCCATTGTCTTCTAGGGGAGTCCTAGATGCAGTTGGCCGGCAAAGCATCCTGAACGCATGAAAGCCAGCCGAGGTGATTTAGGGGGAAAAGTAAAACATGGAGATAAGTGACATTAGACTCAGAAGACTGTGGCATGTACTCTATGCTTAGGAGTTTGGTGAGAACTAGCACAGGCTTAGTAAGAAGAGAGTACAGGTTGGAAATCATATGGGTTTGGGCTCAGGTTCTAGGTCCACTGCAGACTAGCTAGTGGCCTCAGGCAGCTTGCTTCACCCTCTGAGCTTCTGAATCATGGTCAGAATAATGCCTACCTCAGAGGGTGGCTGTATAAAGTAAAGGAGACAGTGGGTGGGATGAGACCAGCACAACAGAAACCCAAGTGATGCAATGTTCCTTTTCTTTCTTGAATGATACTCACCTTCACGTTGCCAGGCTCACAATGGGTTTTAAAGGTCCACGTTATCTGCTGTTACAAACCATTCTTAAATTTCCATCTAAATACTTGTACATCTGTTGTCCTGTGGTACCTGACTTAGCAAAATTTGAATCTTGTTGCAGACTGATGGAGTTCATAGGCTCTCATAGCCTGGGGGCTGTTCCTAAATGAGTTGCCCACATTTCCTCGTGCATCTCAAACATAGTAACCCTGAGCTGGGGACTGGCTGGGCCTCGGTACTCAGAGAACAGCCCTTCCCTAAAAGTCAGTAGAAGAGAGAAGTAAAGTTTGAGACTTCTCACTCCATGTTTAGTCAACCAAGGGATGCTTGGGAAACTTGTTGCATGATCTTTATCAGGGCCTCTGATTAAACCACCAGCTAGTGCCTGTCAGACTCCATGGGTTGGAGCAATACTCCCGGAGTATTAGGGGAAAAGTAAAATATGGAGATAAGTGACATTAGACTCAGAATGTTAGTACATAGTAAGCAAACAAAAGAAAACAAAACAAAAAACAAGCCCCCACACCAAACAAAGAGTTCCATACTGAAATACGTTGAAAAAAAATGTTTAAATGAAACAGGTTTCTTTATTGCAGCACTTTTCAGAGAGCTGACTGGGTACTGCGAATCTCCAAGAAGAGCCTGGTAGGAACAGGATTCTCAGATTTTATATTTCAGAGAGGTCTGTTCTATGGAACGCATCTGGGATTGAGTGAGAGATCTCGGAAGCTAATGATTTCATTGGACCAATGATCTCTACACTGACTAACAACTGGCTTCAGAACACAGAGATTACTGCATTCTGAAGTCGACCTCAGACTAATGAAAAGTTTGCAGCTTCTGTCTTTGTAACAAATGCTATTGATGTGAGTCAATCCAAATACCTCATTTGGGGAATCTGACGACTTGCATGACTGAGAGCCTGTGCCGCAACCATAATAAAAGGGCTGTTAGAGCTGGCCAAAGCTGGGCTCTGGTCAGCAAAGCTGTGTTTACAAAAAGGACTGTCAGAATAAATGTGAGAGCCCGGGCCAGTGTTTCTCAGTAATGTGAGCATCAGTCCGGGCACCAAGGGGTCACAGGTTTGATTCTCAGTCAAGGGCACGTACCTGGGTTGCAGGTTTGATCCTTGTCCTGCGGGAGGCAACCAATCAATGTGTCTTTCTCACATCTATGTTTTCCTGTCTCTCTCTTTCTTTTTCTCTTTCTCTCTCTCCCCCTCCCTTCCACTCTCTCTAAAAATCAATGGAAAAATATCTCCGGGTGAGAATTAACAATAAATAAAATAAAATAAAAAATAAGCTCTTGGCGGGCACCAATGATTTGCACATACTTACCTGTGTACAAGCTAACTCTGGTTAGCTTTCCTGAGAGTGAGCTACGGTCCTTACAGAAGGCAGCCTTCCTCAAGCTCAGACATGATTGGCCCTAATCAGAAATATTCCTTTTTTCCCCCCAGAAATGATATTTTCTCTCTCAACATGGAAGTTATCCCCCAAATTAGGAGGTTGTGATATTGTTTGTTTATATTTTTAATTATATGTATGGCACGCACACTAAATTGCAACTATGTGGTCGCTTCTCGGGTTGAAAAGACAACAGTATTTGGCTCTATTGTAATTATGAGGAGGTTCCGGCATTACTCATTACTGATGGACAAGAGTCAAGCCACACGTTCACACTTACGATGGGGCTACTGAAAGCAGCCTGTCTGGAATGAGGCGTTTCGCCGGCTCCTTCTCCACTTCCTAGAGCAGAGCAGCTCCCAGCAAGATGATTTGAGGATTTACTTCCCAAGAGCCTGTTATGAGCCATCCTGCAGTTGGGGGCCCTCGGTTTCGCCATATTGGCAAGGGAGCCACTGGGGGTGTCTGCAAGATCCTCATCTTCAGAGACAGCTTCCTGATAGGACTCTAACCTCTTGGCTGAGGGGTGAAAAAATCACACGGCGTCAGTACCTGAGAAGAACCACTTTCAAGTTGAATATGTCAGGCATTTACTTAAAACAGCTATTTCGTACCATCTCCTCCCTTTTCAAACCTGGCCTCCAACTGCCCCTCCCCCAATACCCTTAGGTAGTGAACTTACCTCATAGAGAAAAGGAGAAGCATTCAGTTAGGAACTCTCTTCTTTTCCCATCATTGAATCAACCAACCTATCTGCATCTGTACCCAAACTCTCTGTCTTCCTACTATGAATAAAGAATCAAATGCCAAACCCTCCACTCAAGCTCTCCATCCAACCCTCTGGCCTTCTCAAGGACTCCACCCTTAGAGTTCTCCACCCTTTCACCTACACCTATCTCTCCTCAACGAATCTCATGGCTTTCTGTCCCTGTCTCTCCACTGACACTGCTCTTGTCAAGGTCATTTAGAGCTTCCTGTTACCAAATCCAATGATCGCATCTGCCTGTATTTTATTTGAACTCTTAGCAATGTCCAACAGAGCTGACTATTTTCTCCTTGAAATGGCTCTTCCTGTTTCTCTGACACCATGTGTACCTATTTTTTCCTCCTACTTCAAAGGCTGTTCCTCCTTAGTTTCTCCAGCTGTCTTCTCTCCTCCCCAAGCCTCAAACACTGGGTTGCTGTGGAAGCTCCCTCCCTTCTCCACCTATAACCCTTTCTTGGCAATGTCATCTGGTCCCGTCTTTGAAATAGCATCTCTTTGCATATGACCTCCAAACCTATACCTTCAACTTTGACTTCTAATTGGAATCCAATTCTTCATATGATGCTTCCAGTTGGATGTCTAGGTTCTTCAGCAGATATCTGTATGGCTCCCTCCATTACTTTCCTCAAGTTTCTTAGATCCCCTTGTCAATGGAGATTTCCCAGATCTAACTACACTATATACTATAAATCTTATCCCAGCACTTACCATCATCTACACACTGTATATCTTATTTGCTTATATTTTTAATATAAACTCTGAAAGAGCAGATCATTTTATCTGCTTTGGATATCTCCAGAGCCCAAAGCAGTGGTTGAAAGATACTCAATAAACACTTGTTGAATAAATAAATGATAGATAACTTAAATTTGACATGTGAAAATAGAACTCCCCTATTCTTCTCCCTCAGACTTACTCTTTCTCTGTCTTCCCATCTTTGTAAACGGTACCTAACTATATAGTTACTTATGCCAAAAATGTAGGATTCTCCCTGATTCTTCTCTTCTTCCCCAGCCCCACTTGTCATATCATCACCAAGAACTGTCCTTTGTTCATCCAAAATACATCCCAAATATCTTGACTTCTCTCCATCTCCATTACCTTAGTCCAAGCCATCATCATCTCTCAACTGGACTAATGCAATAGCCTCATAACTGGTCTCCTTGTCCCTCAGCAATCCATTCCTCACATAGTAGCTAGAGTGACTTCCTAAAAGATAAACCAGATTGGATCACTCCCTGCACAAAACTCTCCAGTCACTTCACAGTTCACTCAGAGTAAAATCTGAATCCCTTTTCTTGACTTATGTAACTCAGAATTACCTGACATCCACTGACCTCTCTAGCTTTCTTGCCTCTCCTTCCACACGTTCACTAAAACCCCCTTCACTGGCCTTTCTTTTACTTTGAAAACTGGTAAGCTCATTTCAGCCTGAGGGCTAGACTAGCTGCCCCCTCACTGTAAGACTCTTGTCCCTGAACTTCAAGATCATGTAATTTAGATCTAGGCTCTAATGTCCCCCCTGAGAGAGGCCTTGCCCAGTCATCCAATCCAAAGTAGGCTTTCAACCATTCTATATCGTATCACCTCTTTTTAATTCTTTGCAAAGCACTTTTTGCTATTTAATATTTTTCTTGGTTTAAAAATTAATTTTTGTGACTATTTTCTCCAATAGAAGCCCCAGGAGAACAGGGGCCTTATCTGTCTTGTTTATGATTATGTCCAGTGTCCTGAATGCACAGTAAATAATCAACAAATATATGTGCTTGTTGGATTGCTAGTTGTCTGTATGCTGCTTAGTCCATGGACCAGATTTCTAAGTTTTAAAACATAAAATGGTCTTGTCAGATGTATTTATTTTAATTACATATGTGTAAGGAGTTATTTCCAAGAGGCCAAATTCTTTATGGTAATATCTCCTAGCCAATACTTTTGCTAGAAAATCCTGAAGGGTTAACTTGTTTTCATTTCAGCAAAAATAATGTCTCAGAATTAATAATATGTCTCCCCAGAATTAAGTTCTTGGGAGAACTGGCCTCTACCATCACCCCCTTCAGCATTCAGTGTGTGTGTGTGTGTGTGCGCGCGCATCCCCTTGTGTGTGGTGTGTACACGTGGACTAATTTTTAAGCCATTGCAAAGAAAGAGACCAGAAGTTCTAGATGTATCTGGTCAAGAAGTGCTCACAGGCAAAGTCAGCACCTTCTAGAAGTAGTCCAACACTCATGGTTCCCAAATAAGTATCTTATCAAGTATAGTTGTCAGGATGGCATTTGATTCCTAGGCAATGGGTATCTTCTCTGCATGAGGAGCTGCAGAAGAGAAGCACCACTGGGCAGCAGCATGCATGTTCAGGGACTGGGTGGGAGAAGGCTGGTGTTAGCCCTCTTAAATGTTGCAGATATAAATTTAAAAATGCTACCAATACAAAAACGAAGGCAGTACCTGCCACCATGTATTCTATGAAAAACTAGTGACCCGGTGCACGGATTCGTGCACATTGAAAGGAAATTAATTAGAAGATGGCCAGCGGGGCAAGACAGGGAGAGATGGGCTGGACATGCCGTGGAACCAACCTCCCGTGGTCCCTCCCCAGTGTCTGCAGAGTGAGCAGGGTCCCTCTGGCAGGTGGGGTCCCTCGACCTGGCTTGTGGGGATTGGGCTGAAACTGGCTCTCCAATATCCCCTGAGGGGTCCTGGAGTGCAAGAGGGCACTCTGCAAAGTTGCTATCGTACAGGATGTAGAACCCAAATGCAAGTGTGCAGTAAACCAGATTCAGGGTCCACAGTGCTTCAGTGACAACATAACCCACAGCCAAAGGTGGAACTGTGCAGCCCTGGGAAGAATTAGGCTTCCTCCTCTCTGGTTTCAGGGTGCATCACCTGAAAACCTCCACTGCCAAGTCACTGCAGCTCGGCAGCTCCTGCATTAAGTGTCTGCCCCCTAGTGGTCAGTGTGCATCACAGTGACCGGTTGGACGGTAGGAGGGACACTTAACATATTAGCCTTTTATATATATAGATTACTGCTGCAAAATACCAGATTATGATCTGATTGAGACCAAGGATGTGAAAGCCATGTTGAAGTTCTCTCTCCTCTCATCTCATGTGGAGGAGGAGTGCTCTCAAGTACAGAAGGTCCTTTCACAAGCATTGGGCTCCTTGGCGTTGGTGACGGATGGACCCAAGATGGGGCTTTTTTGTTTTGTTTTTTAATATATTTTATCGATTTTTTTACAGAGAGGGAGGGAGAGGAATAGAGAGTTAGAAACATCAATGAGAGAGAAACATCGGTCAGCTGCCTCCTGCACACCCCCTACTGGGGATGTGCCCGCAACCAAGGTACATGCCCCTGACTGGAATCGAACCTGGGACTCTTCAGTCCACAGGCCGACGCTCTAGCCACTGAGCCAAACTGGTCAGGGCAAATTACAGGAATTCTTACATGCAATATAGAGTAACCACTAAAAGAATAAGGAGATATGGAAAGGGAGTCATGATAAGGTCTTAAGAAAAATGGGTATAAAACTAAAAGCACACTGTGATGCCACTTTTGTTTAAAAAACACAGTAATGTGTGCATGAAAAACAAACTCAAAAGAAATGCACTAAAATGTTATAATGGTCCACTCTGTTTAGAAAGGGTTACTGATGACTTAAAATGTTTCCTCTTTTGGCCCAGCCAGCATAGCTTAGTGGTTGAGCATCGACCTATAAACCAGGAGGTCAGAGTTTGATACACAGTCAGGGCACATGCCCAGGTTGTGGGCTCGATCCCCAGTGTGGGGAATGCAGGAGGAGCCAATCAATGATTCGCTCCCATCACTGATGTTTTTATCTCTCTCTCCCTCTCCCTCCCTCTCTGAAATTAATAAAAATATATTTTAGAAATATTTTTATCTTTTGGCTTATCTGAATTTTCTATAACATTGCCTCTGTAATAAAAGATACAATAAAAAAGATGAGACATAATGCAGAGTATCATTATATTCAATATGACTAGCTATTTTTTTAACATTTAGATAGTGATTGTCATAAATACTCAACATTTTATCTCTCACACTCACAAGTAACAATAAAAACAGGCTTAAAAATACATGTCCCTAGGAGAAAAAAAGTATCATATATATATATATATTTAATTTTGGGTAAGGTGAGATGTCTAAGTTTAACACTATTGGCAGAAATCATGATAGTCATAATCTTACTAATATTCATAATAATTGACAAAAATATTTAATAAAAATGTAAAACTTCTAACAAGAAGAGACTTCTTAAAGTAACAGTAATAGACTGTGGTAGGCAGAATTCTATGACAGCCCCCAAAGTTCACCTTGTAGACACCTTGTGAGAATGACGGGATCTCACTTCCATGATAACAGTATGTTTTAGGGCACAGGTAGAGGGCATTTGAAGGTGTGGTCTAGTTCCTCATCAGCTGACTTTGAGTTAATGTAAAAGAAGGCTATCCAGGTGGATCTGATCTCATCAGGTGAGCCCTTTAAAGGAGGTGTCAGTACTTCCCTGAAGAAGACAGATTCAAAGCTAGAGGGTCTGCCACTGACCAGGAAGAAGCGAACTGCCATGCTGAGTTCAGCTGCCTCTAGGAGCTCAGAATGGCCCAGGCTGAGAGCCAGCAGAAAAGCAGGACCAGGGCCCTATAACCTCAAGACACAATTCTGCCAAGAAAAGCAGTGAATTGAGACCAGGCTCCTGAGCCTCAGATAAGATCATAGCCCCAGCTGACAAGTAGATTTCAGTGTGGTGAGAGAACCCAAGAGACTCTTGACCCACAGAAACCATGAGATTGTATAGTTGTGCTGTTTTAAGCCACTAAGTTTGTGGCAATTAGTTACACAGCAACAGAAAATCAATACACTGATAAATCATGAACCAGGAAAATACTTGCTACATGTAGAAGGAAGGTACAATATTAGGGTTGATAACCAGATTATTTAACACTTGGTTTAATCTAAGTGCACAAACGAAGATGGACACTGGCCACAGACCACGTAGTTCAGCTCATCTTGCTTATTCTTAAACTAGAGGCCTGGTGCATGAAAATTTGTGCACTGGAGGGGTGCCCTCAGCCTGGCCTGCCCTCTCTCACAGTTTGGGAGCCCTCAGGGGATGTCCTACTGATGGCTTAGATCCACTCCCCCCTGCCCGTGGGGAGTGGGCCTAAGCCACAGTCTGGCCTCCCTCTGCAGGAGGCGACCAGGCCGATCAGGGGAAGGCACCGCCCCCATCATCCCCGCTGCTTCTGCCACTGCCAGCCATCGCGGCTGCTGGCCCTCCTTGGCTCTCACAGCTGCTGTGGCTTTGTTCAGAAGGATGTCCGGAAGACATCCTGTCTATCCGGTCTAATTAGCATATTACCCTCTTATTAGTATAGACTAGGTGTTCTTAACCAAGAATCAATAAATACCAACAGGCTGAATGTTGGAATTAGGGGGGAGCCCGTAGCCCCTTTGAAAATATTTTCAAAATACTTCTTAGGAATATGGTTTCTATTCTCATTAGATTCTCAAAAGCATTTATAATGCAATAGCATTGTCACATCTACAACCTCAACCTTCCACTTCTATTGGTAATGCACTTTCCTTTAAAAGAAACCATGGCAGCAGACTCCTGGACTTTGACCTACTACCTTCTGAATGGATGACAATTAAGCTTAATGCCCATTTGGATGACTTAAGTACCCAGTGCTTAAATATGGCACTTCTATGCTAGAATTATCAAACCATTAAGTGGGTGTAAAATGATCAATGTTAAGGTTATCATAGACACCCAACACTCACCATTTTCTTCATGACAGTAATCGAAGCCTGCCACACTACATCTTCGAAAAACCATCTTATTCTCAGTGAGGGTTCCTGTCTTATCAGAAAAGAGGTACTGAATCTGCCCAAGATCCTCCGTGATGTTCAGGGCTCGGCACTGGATAGTAGAATCCATTTTCTCATTGTAGAAATCCACATCACTTTGAATAAAATATATCTGTCCAAGCTTCACAACTTCAATGGAAACATAGAGAGAAATGGGAATCAAGACCTAAAAAGAACCAAACAATTTAAAAAATGTTAAAGGGGAAAAAAAGGTTGAGTAACTAAATATAGCTGAATAAGTGGCAAAGGTCTTACAATTCTATGATAAGCTCAACAGAAATTACCTGTAACAAAATGATCATGGTCCAAAACATGTAGAATCCTGCCAACACTGGTGATATGACATGCCCATCAGGCTCAGGGATATGAAAAAGGGGTATGTTTTCATATCTACTCAACCAGATTCCATGACCTTTCAAAAAATACACAGATATCAAATGGATGCTACATATATATTATTCAAATATAGAACTTTATTTCTAAAAAAAACAGGGATGAAGTATTTACTTTGTTGAACACCAATGATTTGTTTTTTAAACAAATTCAAATTTAAATTCAAAATTCTACACATTCTCTTGTCTCTGTCCCTCTCTACTTAGATCCCTTCCCTGGTTCCAAGTACTGTTTCATGTATAACTGAGTATAACTAACATCAGTGCTTTTCAGGCCAAAGAATGAGATTAGGATTTGGGAGGGGGGTGGGGGGGCGGAATTGCTGGCAAAAAAAACCTTCCTTACAGAAGTCAGATATTCATAAATTTTTGAAAGTGAATGCTTTTAAATGAATATCTTGCTGAAAAGATGTCTGCAAATAATGAAATTTTACCTACCCAAGGCACCGGTTAAACACATTATAAGCAAAAGCAGAACACACCAGAGGACATCTGTGTTCGCTCTTCTTTCCAATTTGCTGCGCTTATACCTGGGACCGCTGTTGTTCAGCATTGCTTTGGTTTCATGGCCTGTGTAAGTTAACACAATATGTCAGAGAATGTGCATATTAAAGCCGGGCAGCAAATATCGTATTTTAAAACCTCTCTGGCAGATAATTTCATAACAAGTAGGTACATCATAAATATTGTTAATTTAGTTTGCTTTTGTAATCCATTTAGAAAAACAGAGACCAATGATTAAGCTTATCAAGACAAAATTTCCTCTCTGCCTCTGAAGGCTACGTTTCGAGTGAATGGAAAACACTAACTTGTAGAAGAGCACAAAGGAGACAATGGTGAGAACCAACCTGCATAAACCACGATGCCCACAACGGCCTCTGTGTTTCTAATGGTGCATCCTCTAAGCAATAAATTTTCTTTACCAAGACCCACACGTTCTTTGTTGGCATGTTCTCTGTAAGAAAGACAGCATATAGGTTCATTTTTAAATAGCAAAAGCGGGGTTGTAAAAATCAAAATCATGGTTTTGCGTTTTCTCGATTCGAGTACTAAGGTAGGCAGTTCACAGGAAAGTTTTCAAAGCTCTGGCCCATTTGCTTTTGCTATCTCAGTGTTGCCTGCTTTGGCTGGGGAAAAGATGCAACAGTTTCTAAATACCATTGTTTTCTAGTATTCAGATTACACAGTGGGTGTATGTTTAATTTTCTAGGAAACTTCCAAACTGTTTTTACAAAGTAATTGTACCATTTGACATTCCTACCAGCAGTATGAGTGTTCCCATCCCTCTATAACCTCACCTCCATTTGTTATAGTTGTTCTTTGTAATGTTAACATTGGTGCTCTGTGGTTTTAACTTAGATCTTTTCACACAAATATTTGTCATCCATGTATCTTCTTTGCTGAAGTGTCCATTCAAATTTTTTGACCACTTTAAGGATTGTAGTGTTTGTATTCTTATTACTGAGTTTTGAGATGTCTTTATATATTTTGAATGTAAATCCTATCTCATATATATATATATCTACATTGAAAATATTTTCTTCCACTCTGTGACATTTTCATTAACAGTGTCATTTGAAGAGAAAAAGTTTTTAAATTTGATAAAGTTCTTTTATTTTTTGCTTTTGTGGATTCTACTTTAGTCTTGTAGCTAAGAAATATTTGCCTAACCCAAGGTACTGAAGATTGACCCTATGTTTTCTTCTAGGAATTTTATAATTTTAGGTTTACATTTAAGGATAGGACCCTTTTTTAAGTAATTTTTTTAATGATGAGAAGTATAAATTGTAATTTATTTTTTTAAATACAGATATTCAATTGCTACAGCATCATCTATTAAAAAAAACTAACCTTTCTTTACTAAATTGCTTTTGCATCTTTATCAAATACCATGTGTCCATAAATGTCTGTGTTACTTTCTGAACTTCATAATATTTACCATTGATCTATTGGTCAATTTTTATGCCAAAATGACACTGGCTTGATTATTGTACCTTTCTAATAAGTCTTGAAATCTGATGGTGTTAGCTTTCCAACTTTCTTCTTTTTCAAAGTTGTTTTAGTTAATATAGGTCCTTTGCATCTCCATATAAATGTTTAGAATAAACATGTTAATGTCTAAAAAACACTGCTGGAATTTTTACTGAGATTACACAAAATCTATAAAACTATTTGGGGCAAACTGACATGAAAACATTGAGTTAATGCATGAATAACACATGTCTCTACTTTAAATTTAGGTCTTTATATTTTTAAAATTTCCATCTATTTGCTCATTGCTAGTATACAGAAATACAATTGAATTTTTTTATATTGCTTTTTTGTTTCCTACAACATTGTTAAATCCACTTATTATTTCATGTAGCTTTTTTTTATAGATTTTTATCAGCTTTTCTACAAAGACCATCACACCATTTGTGAATAAAAGTTTTACTTCTTTAATATTTTATGTCTTTTTTTTCCTTTTTTTATCTGACTGCACTAGCTAAAATCTCCAGTTCTAGTTTGAAAAAAAATGGTTAAGTGAATATCTATGTCTTGTTCCTGATCTTAGGGAGAGAGCATTTACATAGTCTATTACCATTAAGTATGATGCTAACTATAGGTTCTTAAGTGCCCTATTTCCAGTTTGCAAGAACAAAAGTTAAATTTTGTCAAATACTTTTTATACATCTATGAAATGATACTTTTCTACATCTATGAAATGATCACCGGGACTTGCCTTTTTAATTTGTTAATTATGGTTTCTTAATATGGTGAATCACATAGTTTGATTTTCAAATGCGAAACCTGGTCATGATGTATTATCCTTTTTATATATTGTTGGATGTGATTTGCTATAATTTTGTTAGAATTTTTGCACATATGGTTCATGAGGGATAGTGGCCTTTCTTTAAATGTTTTTGAATGATTTTGGAATCCGGGTAATGGTATAAGGATAATTCTGGTCTCAGAAAATGAGTTGGGAACTTTTCTCTACCATTTTATCACAAGATTACCCCTATGAAGTAGGCCAAATTGTCTCCTTTTAAAAATAAAGAAACTAAAAGAGTAAATAACTTGGCTCAGAGCATAAAGCACTTAGTGGCATAAGACAGGCATGAAATTAGGCAAGACCCCAAATTCTAGCTGCTCATGCAAAAGGGATGTGGACACCACAAGAAGCCTCCAGAATGAACACTGTCATCATTCTTCTTCTCGATGTGTTTCCAAGTCATTGGCTAACTCTTGCCAACCTGACTGTCCGTGTGCTCCTCTAACTGCAGGACCGTCCTATCATGTCACTTCAGCTGTCAGTTCTGTCCAAACACCTCCTTCCAAACAACTAGCATGTCTTGGGCTTAATGTGGAGCTTATGTAAGAGATTCTTGCACCACTGAGATTCTAGGATGAGCTGAAGAACAAGGTTTTTTTGTTATTTTAAAAATATACATAGGTAAATATTTACCAAATGTATAAGTTGTCTAAACATATTGACCATGAGTGATTTAACTTGGATATAAGTACATAAAGTTTAACCTCGCGTTAAATATAATTGCAACACACAGTTCCACTCACAGCCACAAAGGTAAGCCACGTATCACTCACAGGAAGCCGCGGAACCTGCTGAGGTCATTGTTTGGACTTTCACATTCTATCCGACTGGAGAATTTCTCAGGATCGACTTCAGAGTCCTAAAACATACATTTATACGCATTATTTTACATCGTAAAACAAGAAGGATTCAAGGGTAAGCCCTTAAGATTTAAGTATTTCTCCCGTCACCATTTCTTAAGGTAAAACTAAGGCTTCCTTGCCACAAAGTTTATGTTACAAATTGCCCAAATGAAGAAAAGTATAGGCATAATTATGAATGAATAAATTGGATCAGGATGGTCCTAGAGCATTAATAGACATAGGCAGGCAATAGGAATGTCCAAATCATGGACTGGAATCCATGCAGGACTCTACAGAAGAGAGCTTCTACTCATATAGTAAACACTTTTATCTAGAAGGCACTGAAAAGATGAAAACACCGTTGTTGTTCTTCGACCATATATAGGTGTTTTCTGATGGTAAATGTGTATGTGAAGACTTTGAGCACATATGCATTTGATCCCAGCAAATTTTATTTAAAATTTAAAAAGTGAGCTAGACATCAATATCTTACAAAATACTCTAATGGAGAAAACAGTAATTTTAGAATGTTTTATAAAACCAATAAGCAAAGTTTTACCAATCCATACCTTTATAGACATAGGTATGGATTCACTAAGAACCATCCAAGCCAACCCTATCACATTTCCTTTTTTATTTTTACGAGGCTTTATGGCTAACAAAAAATGCTATTGATACAGCTCGTGAAATATTAATATATATGGAAAATGTGAGTTATGATCATATAATTTGATTTGCTAATAATATTTTTGAGTTCTTTTGATGCACTGGAATCTATATTATGCACTTTAAATATATTAATTAACCATATGTATGCCATAAGTGTCTATAGACACAAGCGACGGACCTTTTTTAATTAAATTCAAAATATCGTGGCAGTTAACTGGTTAATTTCTTCTTCCTAGCCCCATGTGGTACTATAATTAGGTCTAATTAATAGATGAAGAGAGCAAGACACAAAGAGGGTCAATAATTTGCTAAAGGTCTCAAAACAAGACAAAATTTAGAGCCAGGATTACAATTGAGGTCATGGAATGTCAGAGTGCTCACCCTTAATTGAATCCAAAGTGTGTTGATTAATTACCTGGCATCATTCTCAAAGTAGATATTTAGTGGTATGTAATAGAATTCCAAGTTGTACGAGACTTTTACAAATATCTCAGGTACAGAAATGCTTATGAAAGTGACAATGACAATAAGTTCAGCGGTCTCTCAATCACAGAGGATCTAAATACATAGGTTGAAAGATGGGCCCAATCTGACATCAGGTGTTGAAATTTACTAAAGATAGGGGTATTTATTCTTTGGCTAACATATTTTCTGGCTTACAAGTATAAGATGAAGAAAATCTGACCCAATAGTGGTTCATTTAAAAGAAGACAACTACATTTTAAAATACTTCATCTCAAGTGCTTCTAAAGAAAGGGAAGGAAAACCACTATTTAGACATTTTGTACGATGCTTTTACATATATTACTTCACTTGAGTCCCACAGCATTTTAAGATAAAGAAACTGATGCATAAAGTATGTCCGTGAGTTGCTCAAAGTCTCATTGTGATTAAATGGCAGAGTTGGAATTCATTCAAACTCATGCTAATGAATACAACTTCAAAGTTCTTGATTCACTCACCACAGCCTGTCAAAGGTAAGCTCTGTGGCAGGAGAAGCTACAAAAGTCTTAAAAGGCCTTGGTATATACGTAACTATAGATTTTTAGGAACAATAATGTATTTATGTCTCCAGTTTTAATAGCATAAAGTCTATGCTTAAGAAATACAAATTAGAAGGTGGTTGTTTCCATTACAAAATAATTTCCCAAATTACAAAATAATTCTTTTAAAATTAAATTTATTGGGATGACATTGGTCAATAAAATTATATGGGTTTCAAGTATAAAAGTCTATGATTCATCATTTGTATATTGCATTGTTTGCCCACCACCCAAAGTCAAAATAATCCTGTTAGGTGCCTTTAATTCAGTTCCAAAAAATATATGATTGCCCAACTGAAATGCTTGAACTCCAAAGTCATTATATCCTATTACCTACAAAATATAGTATACGTCCACTGCTATTGGAGCTGTATTAAGCCTTCTGGGATTGTATTTTTTAATGGTAAAAATAAAATTTAAAATCTCTTTATCTGTACATGCGACAGTAAGCTTAGTCATTTTCTAAAAAGAAAATGTTAATGTCACCAACTGCCGACATGTTATTTACCTGCTCTGCATATCCCCGAACCACCTGCCTCTGTTTTAAATTGCTTTCTCCATCAAGCCCAGAAGTCTCAATATGACAGATCCCATCTGGATCCGTGGAAAAGAGTAAGACCATATCTGCAGGAATGACCTCGTTACAAGAAAGGCGAATGAAGTCCCCAACAGTAACATCTTTCCAGCAGCAATCAAGGTATTTTTTTTCTTTCCTAAAATTAAAAAAAAAAGCAAAGTTTATAAAGAATATCTAGCTAAAAACATATACAATAGTTTTTTAAGCTTCACTATATAATTCAAAGCATGTTCAAAGTATTAGAATGAATTTTAATCCATTAAATGCTAAAAGGAAAGCCACAGAATTATAAAACCTAAATTTCACAACTTACTTTACCTGAAATTTTAGTTATTAGCTACTAAAACACATTTTTCAGCTCCTTTTTTTTCCTGTGAGATTTTTAACCATTAAGTTATTTGAGCATAAATCTGGAATAAAATTAAAATTACTATTTGATGGGTTTATTCATACATGAAGTGATTTCTGCATCTACCCTGTGGTCAAGGGGTCAAGGATCCAGAAGTGCACAAGGCACAACATCTGCTCTCAGAGAGCTCCCATGTGGCAGAAAGGAAGGGTAATTAAACACAAATGAAATAAATACCTAGGTACAACATTAAAAAAAGCATTATACCACCATATTAACAGCTCTACTTATTTATATATATTTATGCTAAGTGTCCTTCTCACTGTCTGACCGGTTGCTATGATGTGCACTGACCACCAGGGGGAAGATGCTCAATGCAGGAGCTGCCATGACACTCACTGGCCATTTACAGAGAAATGGCACCACAGACCTGGCGCCCACAACACAACACTTGGCTTCCCCCAAGTGGGACACAGGCCCTGCCACCACCCCAGAGCGACAGTCCACCAAATCACAGCCGACGCTCCTAAGACCCCATGGCCAGCTCGGAAACGGTCACTGTAGGCGCCGGGTAATGACATCACAGTTTAACCAAATGTCTGTGAAGCGTTTTCCCATGCATCTCATTTGATCCTCACAGAAGTCCTGAAGTGGGATAGGAGACTCAGTGGAATCCTATTTTCTTTTCATAAGCAAGACAACGGAGATTTAGAAAAAGCTTGACCCAACTGAAAAGAGTAAGAAATGGTGGACCTTGAAAATGACTTCAGGTTTTTTCACTGCACAGACTATAGTCAAACACTGCTTGCTGCAGTTAAACATTTTATACATTTCTATTATAGAGAAAGGGTGAACAGTGATATTAAAATATTTCTTCTAATTAATTTCCTTTCAATGTGCACAAATTTGTGTACTGGACCACTAGTCATTTAATAAAAATACTGGTTAACACAGTCCTAAACTGTTGCTGCAGTGGAAAGGTTTTATTACCCTCTTTTGTGCCCCCAAAGAACATTTTCCTCCATTTTACAGAATCCCTTTTCTCCATAGACAGCTCTTGTCTTCTCTTTTGCATATTCCATCTCGTTCTCCATATCCATTCATATTTTTCATACCCCAACCTCTTCTAATTACCCTCTTTTGTGCCCCCAAAGAACATTTTCCTCCATTTTACAGAATCCCTTTCTCCACAAACAGCTCTTGTCTTCTCTTTTTCATATTCCATCTTGTTCTCCATATCCATTCATATTTTTTATACCCCAACCTCTTCTGATCCCAAATGGTATCATCTAGGATTAAAACCTATCTGCTTGCTTTCCCTCTGATGGTTTTAAGTTTTATTCTTTCAGTTTCACTTAGAAGTTATAGAGGCTTGTGTCCTGGGTTGACAACGTCTCATACACTTTTGTTTTCCTATGAATTAAATTCACTGTAGGTCTTTAATACATATGAGTTGAAAATATCACCACCACCACCACAACCACAAAAAAGGTCCTGGTCACACCTACGGGGGGGAAAAAGTAACAATCTGCAAGTTTCTAAATGATACATGTGTATTCCCGAGGACAGCTCCTGTTACACTTACCGACTGTAAACTTTGGTTAATAAGTTGTTGATCTGCTTGTCAATTTTGTATTTCCGGTAATCTTCCAAGCCGTCTTTTATTGCGATAATTGTGAGGACCACCACCAGAGGCAGCATCGTAATTTCCTTTTGAAAGGCCTCTACCAAAGGCACCCAGTTCAGGACCACTAGAAACAGGAAATACAAATTGGCGGCTCTGCAAACAAACACGCACAGGGAGGTGTTAACAGATCACATAAACGCCTAAAGCAAACAGAGGCGAAAAAACCTCCCGGTGTTTTCTTACAAGTGTTTATTAGCTGATTTTAGGTGCTACAGAATGAAGAACTAGCAAAATCTAAAAGACCTGAACCAACAATTTATTACTCCTGTGAGCATCTAGCTCGAGGCATACTTTAATAAATGAGAGATAGTATGTATTAAATATGTAACAGTAAATATTGGAGTGTGACCGTCTTGAGTCGTGTGACACATGATATAAAGCATAATAGGAAATACTATTTTCTCTCCAAAAGTTCAAAAACTGAGAGGAAATTCAGTGATGTGGGTTATAAAAATAACTTGTTAAATGATGCAACCATCTACCCTTCAGAAATTAATTTGTATGGGCAAACCTTACATCCAAACAAGGTTCAAAATAAGTAGAAAAGCTTGAGAGGTTTTTTTTTTCCCCTTGAGACCAAATTTCTGCTTTGATGTTATTCAGAACCACTTTTTCAGGAACTTCCTCCATTCCTCCATCTTATAGATTTAAAAACTCCTCCACTGGCTCACAAGGTAAATTCAAGTGGCCCTTTACCTTAAAGCAGTGGTTCTCAACCTTCCTAACGCCACGACCCTTTAATACAGTTCCTCATGTTGTGGTGACCCCCAACCATAAAATTATTTTTGTTGCTACTTCATAACTGTAATTTTGCTACTGTAAACAATATGTAATCATATGTGTGTTTTCCGATGGTCTTAGGCGACCCCCGTGAAAGGGTCATTCGACCCCCAAAGGGGTCGCGACCCACAGGTTGAGAACCACTGATCTAGCATGACAAAAACAATCAGTTATGTTTCCCCAAACTAAAAGTACCTGTGAAATTGCTCAAATAAATTTCTTGGCACAAAATTCAGAAGCGTGTACTTTGTCGTTCGTATTCGGTTATTCACGTAGGTTCCAGAGAACTTCTCGTACTCTTCCTTGAAGGGCTGGAGGTGGGGGACCACAACCCGGTGCCTGCCTGCCAGTCTGGGGGTCTGAGAGGACTTGCTCCCGCAGGCAAGCAGCGAGGAATAGCTGTATGGTCTCTCATCCTCGCCCCTGTTCGGACCGCCCATCAGCCGCTGCCAGTGGTATCGGGCCCACTGAACAGGCTCAGTCATGTCCAAAATGCGGTGAGATCCAGGTTGGGTAGGTGATCTGGCAAAACAAACAAAAACCCACTAAAACACTCCTCATAAGCTTCTGGAAAGTCTTAAAGAGTAGTAAGGATAGTAAAGCTAAGATTTTTTTTCTATACCAAATAAATACTATATGACCCAACGGTTCAAGGTATAGATGGGAAAGTAAGACCAGAATTGACAGCTCCATCTGTAACCAAAAGTCTTCATTAAATAAAGGATACTCCTTCTCATGAGCTGACCTGATCACCTAAGAAACAAGAGGCAGCATCTAGAATGCCATGCCATAATTAAAGCAAATAATTTAGGCCAAATGCACACAAGTCTCTTAATTTATCCAATCATGAGTTTTCTCTTCTTTGAATTGAGAATGCCACACATGTCAGACAACGTTGTGAAGATTAAATGAATACCTTGTAAAGCACCCAGCATAAAACTCGATTTAAGTAGCCATTAAACCCTTTCTATGAAGATTACAAAAATGGCCACAAGTCTTTCCTTCCCTCATGCACACCCCTTCACCCAGCAAGTTGGGGAGTCTCTCTACTCATTGAATCTGGACTTGACCACGTGCTTTGCTTGGCTAATGAAACACTAGTGAACGTGACATGAGTAGAGGTTTCAAATGTGCTTGCTCGGGGGACTCCCACTCCTCTTGAGAACCCTGTGGCTACTACCATGTGCTGAGCCCAAGCTAGTCTACTAGATGTGAGTGCACATGACCCACTTACCACCTTTGTTCCTGTTAATATGTGGGCGAGGCCACTGGCCACCAGCTGGCCACTAACATGAGTGTGCCCAGATGACACAATCTAGAACAGAGCTGAACAGAGTTCAACCCAAGAAACTGTGAGTTAGTAAAAGTTACATCACCAACTTTAGGGTGGTTTGTAATAAAACAAAATCTAACTCATATATCCTTATCTAATAAAAGAGAAACATGGTAATTGGCGTACGACCACTACCCTTCCCATTGGCTAATCAGGGCGATATGCAAATTAACTGTCAGCCAAGATGGCAGCCAGCGGCCAGGCAGCTTGAAATTAACATGGGGCTTGCTTGCTTCAGTGACGGAGGACTCCAACATTCCCTGCATGCCGCTGCAAGCCTCTGAGCCTGCAGTTTGAACATTGTAACAAATATAGAAGCTAAAAAAACCCCAGAAACCTGCTTTAGTCTGGGGCTTCAGCCAGCAGAATAGCAACATTGTATGCAAAGGCCAGAAACCTACTTTCAGCAGCAGAGGCCTAAGAACTGGAGCCAATCCTGAAAGCTAAAGCTGGCCCAGAATAAACAAAGAAAAAAAAAAAAGAAAAAAAGGAACGGTTGGGAGCTTCAGTCACCCCCAGCCTGAAAACAGCCCTCAGCCGCTCACCCAGACTGGCCAGGCACCCCAGTGGGGACCCCCACCCTGATCCAGGACACCCTTCAGGGCAAACCAGCCAGCCCACACCCGTGCACCAGGCCACTATTCTATATAGTAAAAGGGTAATATGCCTCCCAGCACTGGGATCAGCAGAGCCGCGAGGCCTCCCGGCACCGGGATCAGCGTGACGGGGGGCAGCGCCCAAACCCCCTGATCGCCCTGCAGCTCAGTGTGTGACAGGGGGCGGGGCCACAACCCCCTGACCGGCCCTGCTCTGTGCCTGATAGGGTGGAGTTCCCCAATCCCCTGATCGCCTTGCAGCTCTGTGTGTGACAGTGGCGGCGCCCCAACCCCCTGATTGGCCCTGCTCTGTGCGTGATAGGGGGTGGCGCCGCAACATCCCCATCGACCCTGCCTTGAGTGTGACAGGGGGCGGTGCCCCAACTCCCCAATTGGCCCTGCTCTGAGCCCGACCAGGGGCTGCACCTAGGGGTTGGGCCTGCCCTCTTCCACCCAGAGCAGGCCTAAGCCAGCAGGCCGTTATCTCCTGAGGAGTCCCAGACTGTGAGAGGGCACAGGCCGGGCTGAGGGACCCCCCTGTCCCCCGAGTGCACAAATTTTTGTGCACCGGGCCTCTAGTGTGTGTGTGTGTGTGTGTGTGTGTGTATGAGTTATATGATATGTATATATATGTATATATATATGTATACACACACACACACACACACACACTAGAGGCCTGGTGTACAAAATTCTCGCAGCCCAGGAGTCCTCAGGGGATGTCTGACTGACAGCTTAGGCCCACTCCCCATAGGAGCGCAGTGACCATCAGGGGGAAGCTCCTGCATTGAGCATCTGCCCCCTGGTGTTCAGTGTGCATCATAGCAACCCGTCATTAGCCATTCGGTCGATTTGCATATTAGCCTTTTATTATATAGAATATTTTTATTGATTTCAGAGAGGAAGGGAGAGGGAGAGAGAGAGACAGAAACATCAACAATGAGAGAAAATCATTGATTGGCTGCCTCTTACACACACACCCCTGGAGATTAAAATTTAACTCTTATATAATCTCTTCCTTATTTCCAAGTTTTTCTTATTTTCCAAGAATTCAGCCCTGCCTGGAATGTAAGCTCATTAATTGGGGACAGGGGGAGAAAGCTAGCATTATTAAGAGTACACTATATTACAAGCACTTCGCAAAGCACTTTACATGCATTGTCTTACTTAATATTAACATCAATCTGATAACACAGCTATTATTTCTATTTTGCAAAAAAGGAAATGGGCTTACAGGAGTTAAGTAACTTGCTGAAATTCATATGGTTAGTAAGGCTGATTCAAACCAAATCTTTCTAACTCAACAGTTTCTGCTTGTAACTGTCCATGTGTCTCATGTATCTTCACATCCAGAGTAGCTGGCACTTAGTAGATGCCCAATGAAAGTTCCTTGGGTAGCTAACAAGCATGTCAGCAAATGAGCAATGTGTGGAGGGCAGGGTCTGGGGGCCTTGGTTTCTATCCTTGCTCTATCACTCCCATTGCATGTACTTATCATCTTGGATTGGAGCTCACCTCTGGAGATTCTAATTTAGTAAATCTGTGGGCGTGTTCTGGTCATCTAAACTGTTAACAAGACTCCCCAGACTAATCTGACTCAGATGGCCTACAACTGCACCTAGAGAAAATTGAGGTCATGGGCTAGAAACTATACTAGGCTAGAAATACAGACATGATTCAGTCCTAGATCCCCTTTTGCAGGAGCTCAGGGTCTAGGCGAGGTGACAGGCATGTATATACATAAATGCACCCGAGGTGCAGAATAGTGTTCAAGGCACTGATGTAGTTTGGGCAAATTCTTTAAGCGTCTTCCTTCCTAAACTACATTCTAAGTTTAAACCATCTCTATTGATTCTTTTCTCTACAGTGTTATATTAATCAGGAATTAATAGTTTCCCCCTAAGAACATGAAAATTGTATCTAGCTTTCATGGATCTGAAATCATAAGTCATTACCTAGAAGCATTAGAAGATTTGGCCCAATTATATTCTAGTAGTTAGTGAATCCACGTTTTTAACAATCCATTCTTGTTAATACGTTTGCTTATGATACACTGGTTTTTAAGCAATCCAAGAGATTAATTAGATAGAATTACTTCATCACTGCATTTATACACAAGTTAAATTACAAATAATAATTTTCTAAAATCCCATCAGATCTTTAAAAGTTATATGCTCTAAAGCAAAATATTAAAAAAAAAATGAGCAGAAAGTTACTTTTAATGGGAAAAATGCAATAGCTTCCAAGTGTGTGTATTTGGATATTGGACCCACAATACAGGATAGGCAAAAGTAGGTTTACAGTTGTGAGTATGCAAAACAGAGTGTATTCTTGTATTATTATTATTTATTAATAATTATATTATTTTCCACATGAACAACTGTAAACTTACTTTTGCCCCACACTGTACATAGCCTTTATTATTCGTGAGAGAAAATATCCTTAAAGTCAGTCTTACCAGTTTTATACTAATACTAGAGGCCCAGTGCACAAAAATTTGATTTGTGCACTCGGGGGTAGGGAGGTCCCTCAGCCCGGCCTGTGCCCTTTCGCAGTCTGGGACCCCTCAGGGGTGACCACTTGCTGGCTTAGGCCTGCTCCCCAGGGGATTGGGCCTAAGATGGCAATCAGACATCCCTCTAGCAGCCCGGCAGCCCTCGGGGGATGTCCACTTGCCAGCAGGAAGCAGGCCTAAACTGCAGTTGGACATCCTTAGTGCTGCTGAGGAGGCATGAGAGGCTCCCACCACCACCGCTGTACTGGCAGCCATCAGCGGGGCTTATGGCTGAGG